ACTATAAGTGGAACAGTATCTGTCATGAATATAAAACCGTTTTTGTAACATTTTCTAAACCAAATTATGGAAATATTCATTGTGAAATTGTCAACAAATCTCACATTACTTTGCAGGTTACTAATTCACAAGCAATTCAGTGACTTACGCGGTATCAGATTTATCTAAAATGCATTGCTATTGATAAGGTATCGCATTTTTGACTGATCGAAACAAAGCGCGTGATCTTTTTCATGTAAAGGTATCAAAATTTTAATGGCCAAAAGTTACCTACAGTACTTAGTCAGAATTTCACAGACGATATTTGAATTTTTAAATTATATGTTTCACTCTTCCTTGCTCCGTGCGGTGACGGATTAAGAATACGAAGTGTCACCACCCCTAATCATACCGCGGGTGTCGTAAGCGGCTACGAGGGGAGCAAACAGCGCAGGACAACAGCACTGCAAAGAGAATTAAAACTTGAAAGAAACCTCATATCAACCCGTTTAGTCAGCGTGGCCAAAAGTTACTTTTATAGTGAGACCTATGTCCAACAGTGGCATACTAAAGGCTGATGATGATGACTCTTCCTTTCTAACACCTACTTACACTTAGGGGAAGCGTGTCTCATCTAAGTATGTGACAGAAAAACTATACTCCATATTTGAGTTTGTGATCACAAACACACAAGTCTGATGCAGGTACTTTACTGCCCTTCGATTCTAAAATTTGTTAGTCATTTTTAATTATTACTCTACAAAGAATACTAGAGGACTTCATTTCAATTTTAAGTATTTCTGAATAATTACTTATTTGAAACTGATTTTAAAGAAACTTCTTTTTATCTGAGAAAGCCTTCTTTTTGTCTTATCTTAGATTACCTGTAGAGTAATAATTCGCATTTGAATTGTGGAGAAATCATAACCTTTTTTAAACTCGTTCGATCGAAAAAAGATCGAGCCAATATATTTACAGTAAAAACAAGGTGGGAATGATAGAACAAAGAGAGATACGACAATTGTTACTTATTTTGTTTTAAAAAGTAAAAAGGTTTCCGTATCCAACAATGATATATAAACATTTAATACGTCATTGATTTCGAAACTTTAATTTAGAAAATCAATACTGTCCTTTTGAGGGCGTACGATTGAAAAAACGGAACCCTTATAGGATTACTGTCCGTCTGTCACAGCTAAATTGCTCTGATTCTACTGGGCCGATTACGCGGCGACTTTGTCTGTAGTTTTGCAGTTATTTAAGAAAATAATGAAAATTGACCATCACTACTGAGCGTTAAATTTAAAATAGAAAAATATAGAAAATAGTTTACAGGTTACCTATAAAAGTCTAGACTTTTGCCTCGACCGTGACCTTACACTTATACGAGCGAGTTCAATTTCAAATAAAAGTTTGCCGTTTCTTTTTTTTTAAGTATAATTAACAACAAACAGTAATTTTAAATTCCCAATAGTAGTTGAACGGTTTAAACGAAGATACAAACAAAAAGGCACTACCTAAGTACCTTCACAATAATATACTGCCATGCCGCTGTAAAAAACGTGTGTAAAGGGGAACCTTCTTTTTTTAAATTGGTTAAAGAGAAAGACATTCTTTAACAGCAACGTTCTGAGAGCAAGTATTCAACCCTTTTTTTTTGGTACGTGCTCCAAATTCACAATTTTGTGTTTCTATCATTTACTTATCTCAAGTCGATCATTAATATTTCACAATAACGTTATGAAACTTGGCCCTTTTAGGACGTTTTTCTAGCAGTATATTTATAGCATTTTTAACTTTACCGTTCAAATAATGTTGTAACAAATATCCATAATACACGTTTTAAGTATTATTAAGTATAAGGGCAAAGTTATTTAACGATTATAAGTTACCCAATAATTTAGTTTTAACTAACAGTAAAGAGTGTAGGGAGTTGTTCTAGATGTCGTTAATATGTAATTTCATAGCATTTTCTATGCTCGAAATATTTTTTGTACAGTTTTTTTTTGGTTAAGTATATAATGGAAAAGTTACTACTTTCTTTTAGCCACCAAATCGCATTAAACCTAGTACTAGAACTTGAGATTCAACAAAAAAAAATACATTGGTATAGTTAGCCGCAATGCCTATTATTAACACTAGGCGGAATTATTACTCTAAACATATCAACGTTTCCATAACGTCTTGGAACTACAAAACTACATGGTCTTTACCACAGAATTAATACATAATACTATAATGTACACTGTTGTTTCTACTATAAATGCTACCTACCTAACAGCGAGGCCTTCTAACAATAATGGTTCAGGTAGAAGCGAGACCATTTTTTGCTAACAATTTGCTATAGAATTGGTTAGATATTTATTTGTTCTCATAGTCAATTATCTTAACTTTTACCATGTTACCGTTTTGTAAGGATTTAGCCTTTTAAAGGTATTCATTGTTAAATAGGTACAAATTAAAAATCAAAATTTCCAGACACTACTGTAGATGTACCTATTCGAAATTGATAGATTTGCGATTTATTTTTGTATAAGTGAAAACAAGTTAATATTTCAAATAATAAATCCATTTGTTTGTGTGAGTCGATATTTTCGATTCGAAAAGAGAATTAAAAAAGTGTAGTAGGTAATAATAATGAAAGGTGTATCTTCGTGGGAACTTCACAAACATAACATTACGCATCGAATGTACCTACTTCTAGATTCGAAACATTTGTGAATCATTCAGGCAAATGTTACTGCAACATTCAATGTAGTGACAGTTAATAAGTTATACACTTGTAAATGATAAACAAAATGTTAATTAATGTAATAATTCAATTTGCTAAATTTTTCATGACAACAAAGAGTCACTTATATCGAAATTTTATTAGTATTAGTACGCAGTAAGTAATATCTCGAAGTAACTGGAAATAATTTTCTTGAGCCTAAGGTGTTACTGAGTAGGTTAACACATTGCAAAGCTAAGCAATCCTAGGCAGGTCAGTCTATGGGTGACCATTCTAAACACAGTGAGACACCTACCTGCTTCAGGGTCCGTCGGTCCCGCTTGCCATACGACCATCTGTGGCAATCGTTACGAGTTGTCGGAGCCCTAAAAATCTGACAACAGTTTTTCTGCAGAACTTTGATATCGCCTAATATTTGGGTTTTTGGAGGTCTAATGGCAGTCACGCTGCGTAAAAAATCGAAGTTCAGCTGTATCGTAGAAGACCATATCTGACCGACATAACTTAGTTTGGGAAAAAGGCTTGGAGGAAGGAAACTAATTATTTGTGCTAACGAATTATTTTAATTCGTTAGCACAAATAATTCGGTAGCACAAATGATAATTGAATAAAATATAACTACTCGCAATAAATGTCCTATACAAGGGGTGTAATTGTGCTCTGTGGGATCTGTATCAACCGACAAGGTGACCACTGAAAGGGTATACATTGACACGAATGCAAGCTGAGAAGTTTAAGCGGGGCCCGTCATTGATATCGGCAGAAGATCATCATTAGGACAGTCGTGAAGATGTCGTTTCTCAAACAAGCTTGAAGTTTATCATTACTCAATCTTGGGTATCTGTTATTTAACACGAAAGAAGTAAAATACAGATAATAAACATTTATGTTCATATTATTTTGGCTATTTGAAATTTATAGACATGGGTAAACTTTAAGACTTCGGTAATCGGTTATTAATCTTTAAAAAAATAAGAGTAAAGTATGTAAACAGACTATTATTTAAAATGCCAGAAATAAATTAGTGTTTTAGTATAGTATGAACATTTAGGATAGTGATTCAAATTGAATTCCTAACGTTGCTAAGGCTTGCACAATATAGGCCAATGATAGAAGAATATGTGCTCATGAGAGAAATCTTTTAAGTAATAGTTAGGATTGACAGACGAGCTTAGATAAGATTCATAACTTAATTGTCTGACACCTTCTAACACATTTGAATTTATAACTACGGCTTGGTAGCTACAACTATAGTAGTCCACGATACAAGTCTTTGTTTAAAGAAGAATCTAACTATTTAGATGTTATTTATGGTAGTTAATTACTAGGAGCAGACAGCAAGTACGACAAAGCAGACAGAAATATGTAATTAGGTGCTTCATTCCTTAACAATCACCCTGTATAACAATTTTAAACTATAGTCATGCGACCAAAGCAGTGTTGTATTCGTTCCATCCACTCACTAAATTTCTTATCAATGAAAGAAATAAAAGCGAAACATTACTACGATCTACTGAATAAACAATAACACACCTAATTTAAAGAGGGATCAGAGCACATGGCAATCTATCTTTCGAAACAACAAAGCCGATTGGTGTGACGTTCCACCCCGGTGATATGTACGTCCTACTACCTAAATGCCTTATGTACACCGCTAGTTACTACTTCATGACTACTCCGAGCTCAGTGTGTACTGCAATGCAACGGAAAATATGCGTGTTTACCAAAGTCGTTTCGGTAGAACGGTGTCGTGTGTTGCGTCACGTTTAAGGAAATTGATAGTGCGCCGAGGCCGACGTGACTAACATTATCGTGATTGTGCTCATTTTATATCTAATTTTTCAAATGTCAATTAGATTTTCAAGTGAAGTGTTGTGATTTCACATCAAAATGGAATTTCTTTTCTTTCATCCCGTTTCTCCCTGTGGGTGGAGGCCAGACAAATGTCCGACGTTCGACACGCCGTGCGACCGACATAACCTTGTGATGTCGAGTAAGTACTTTTTTGTTACAATCATGGCTACAACCGGTTAAAATTTAAGAAATATGTCGTAAATTGGAACACTAGCCCAATTTTAGTAATATATTATAATAAAAAACAATCTTCCATAGCACAAATGCAGAAGAAAAAAGCATTTTTCGAATAATAATATCGAACGTCATTACGAGGTTCACTCTACAAGATGGCGGCGAGTGGGGAGAGGGCCAGTTGGCCAGGTGCTGCCGCCGCGTCGAGTTCGGCGCTATAGCTAAACTAAATACGCAGTGTTGTACATTTAGAACGTTCACAATGGCTACCGCGAAAGACACGTCTACTTTCTTTCTGGAGGCAGATGCAAAAGATTTTGACAGTGTTTTACAGTTATATCCACAAGCGATTAAACTAAAAGCTGAGCAGAAAACAAAGAAACCAGAGGAGCTCATAAAATTGGACAATTGGTAAGTACAAACGCCTTTGAAAGGAGAAAATGCGGCCGTGGCGTGTCAATGAACTTGTATTGTGTGTGTATCCGTGCAAACTGATTTGATAGCTACCTCCCTCGCGGACTGCATCTCTAGTCCGCGGACGGCTCATTAAAACCACTGCGTCACGTGGGATCGATGTCAAATTGACACGATCGTTTTTCCTGAAGCTAGTGTGGGGGAAAATATCGCCGCGCTTAGGCGTTATAAAATGGTGGCTGTCCTTAACGTATCATGACTCGGTTTATTGCTTTTATGTCCATGTTTGTTGGCCGTTTGGTTGCAAATTTCTTAAATACCTTTACTAATCAATCTTGTTAAAGTATGTGTGTCATTGCATAAATCTAACAATACACTTTAGTAGATAATACAATGCGTTGTTGAGCACAACTCACAATTCAACATCCGTTCAAAATGGTGACTTGCCATTTAAGTTATATTTAATTATTGATGTTATACTTAGGTATTAAACACTATGTTATGTTATATAAATAACCAACTATTCAAATTCTTATGTTTTACAAAATAAAACGAGTGCCTAGTACGGGATTAGTTATGAGGGCGCAATGAGTCATCATGTCTCTAACTTTTACCAGCCATTTAAATTGTTCTTCATGTCTAAAAAATATGTTAAATTAATTATGAACTTAAGGCTTTTGATCGTATCACATTCAACACTTACGTTATAATAACAGATAATTATATCGCAATTCTATAATAGTGTCCTGTCTTCTCTACAGCTGGGTTTATACGGTAACTTTTACACTCATTTTCAATCAACCTATTATCTTGTATATGTATGAATTAACATTTAAACTTTACATTTAAAATAAGGTCCAAATACGTACTAGATACGTAAGTAGGTACTAATAGTACTTAAACAAAAAATTTGCATCGGCATACAACAAAAGTATTTACAGTAGGTATGCGCGCCAATATTTATAATTATCATTTAGGTATTTTTTTTATGGGAAAACTTATTAATTACCAACTTTATAGCTTTAATTTTTCACCTAACGATCATAGTTTTGTACCTCATGATAATTATTATTATTCCTTTTGTGAAAATAGGTTAACATGACAGAATACTTCGAGTACTATTAATATTAAAAGACATTAAGCTGTAGACCATACCAACCTATTACTCTATATTGTAACAATTTAAAACAATTTTCTACGAAATAAGAATCGTGTCTACTAAATGGATAAATATTTCTGCTTACTACATCCAAACGAAACTGTACCATGTGGATTTAGTAAGTACGATTCCAACAAGTGTTATACCATATGGCTCATAATAACTCCGTGAACATGTGCTAGCGTATACTGTAATAAAACGAACCGTTTTCCAACAATTAATATCTCTTCATAGCTATATTAGAACAACACATTGTATCTGGAAGTAAATTAACTTCTTCATTATCTATCGCTAAGATATCATTCCTACGTAATTAATGAGAACAGAAGTTAGGTGCTGCTGACCACCTTTACTTATGAGAGCAATCATAGTTATTGCGTTGATTTTATTATTATCTGTAGGTTAGATTATCATTTAACATTAGTATACGGATTGACGGTAAAATGTAAAATAATTTAAGAAAATAATGTAGCCGCGTTACCGCTTCGAGGGCTACGGATTCGAAAATATATTGTTCAACTAATTTCTGTTTTGAAATTTAAGTCTGGAATCTCTGTGTTAAAATTATGATTTAAATAAAGTAAACAAAATATATATATATAAATTTCTGTTCATTATTTTGCAGGTACCAGAATGAATTACCAAAGAAGATTAAATCCAGAGGCAAAGACGCACATATGATACATGAAGAGTTGGTGCAGCTTATGAAATGGAAACAAGCGGTCAGTACAAGTTTATTATACTAACATCGAGAGAAACTTGTTTCATAACTATCCGTGGTTTGATAAACTTACTTTTTATGTCAACTATGACCAAAGTTATTATTTCTAATAATACCGATGTCAATTAAAATGGATAATAACGGTCATGTACCTAGGTATTAAGGATAGATACATTTATTACAAAATCGATATAGGATTAACGTAAAGGAATCATGCATCTCATTGAATCTTATTTGTATTTTATCCATGAATTGTAATCGTAAATATTTGAGTAGTCTTTAAACATTTATGTTTCAATATGTGTAAAACCCGACTATTAGTAAAACACAGCACGTACAGATAGATAAAGAACAAAAAATCTGCAATCGTACGTCTTCAACAGATTTATTAATCTCTAAATCCTCGTAGCCAGTGACAACAAATAACCTATTGAAACTGAACAATGGCTAATGAAATTCTAATATTTTCTTATTGCAGAGAGGAAAATTCTATCCTCAATTATCATACCTGATAAAGGTAAACACGCCGAGAGCTGTAGTGCAAGAGACAAAAAAGGCATTCCGTAAGCTACCGAACATTGAGACAGCGATGACGGCACTCAGTAATTTGAAGGGAGTAGGCACTGCTACGGCGTCTGCACTGCTTGCAGCGGCGAGCCCCGACATTGCGCCATTCATGGCAGATGAATGCGTACAAGCGATCCCAGAGATGGAAGGGAGCGACTACACTGCCAAGGAATACCTCAATTTTGTAAACCATATAAGGAACGTCTGTGATAGGTTAAATAAGGTTCGTATACTCTGCAACACTTCCATTTGGCAAAGGGCCCAAAAGCCCTTTTGTAAAATGGTTTTGGCAATAGAAGCTAACGGCGGTACTTTAAAATGTACAATTGCAATGATTTTATATTTCACTGCATTCAGCTTTATCTACGCTATTATTATTTTGGCGTAGCAGTTGTGAATGATTAAGTAATATCATGAATACAAAGTTAAATAAAACTCCAAGTTAAGACGAGTCTTTTATATAGGAACAAAACGGCTGTGGCAAGAAATGGTCACCACACATGGTGGAATTGACATTATGGACACATCACATCGTGTCAGACCTCCGGCCAGAGCTGCTAGGCAAGGCGCCTAGAACCATTACTGCACCCACAAACGGGGGATCACCATTGCCGAGCGACGAAAGTAACCTTGAACCTCCATCTACAAATGGAAATGGTAATATAAGATTTTGATCGCCACAACTAAATACTGTTTGCTACTATAATAGTGTAGAGCATGACTCGAATATTAAGTATTTTTTTGTGAAAATCCAGTCGACATAAACTTTTGGTATCATCAGCATTACTCAATTTGTTTTATCATGTGTAAATCGAACATCTGCATTGATTGCATGATACTCTGATCATTAGTGAAAAACAAAAAACTTACGTTACAGGAAATACTTTAATTATTATCAAATTAATTTATTTAAGTTAAATTTTCATTAAGTGAGTTTACTTTATTTGAGATAAAATAATCGCTTCTAGTCAGATATAGACTAAACAATACGGAAATACTAATGAAATCGTTTAATGTCAATAACTAATTTTAAGCTCTCTTCACATTAATAATGAGGGTGCGGCGGCATAATCACTTCGCTACTAAACCCTCGTTAAATAAATGAAGAGAAAAAAAAACTTCAGAATATCAGTAAAAGGTCTTTCAAAGGTTAAAATTAAAATAGGCTTTATTGGCCTACATTAAAATGTAACATTAAATTATATTAAGTCAATTTTAATACTAATAGCTAGGTAATAGGTTATCTGGCTTATAATATTAATTAGTGAGTTACTTAGATGACTGTGGATTTATTAAAACATTTTCCACTAGTAATATATCAAAAACTAGCTATACCCGCGCTTTACTCTCGTAAAGTTTATTTTTTTTAACCCTCGAATATCATAATTATTGTGTTAATGTAATCTCTGAAAATATCAATTTTTGAACGAAAGTAACGATAAAACTCCCTCTAGACAAATCGCAGCATCCTTCGTTGTCCCATTCCTCCTGACTTTTATCATGTCTCTCGAATGCGCGTGCATGCGCGTCTATGAAAACAACAATATGTTTCTACATAAACATGCATTGTTAATTATAGCAAAATATGTTATATCAAATATGGTGCCTACTTAAAGAGTTAGTATTGTCTTAATGAATATTATTAAATATGTAATAATTAATTATTATTGCAAAGCATTATCGTATATTTTAATTAATATTGAAAGGACTTCTATCATTTTTTTTTCATTTTCGCCTAGATAGAAGATACTATTAGAAAAAAGTTCTCCAATTTTGGCAATATTTTGCTTTTGGTAGATTAATACACTGAAAGGTATACTCCCAACACTTAAGTCATTGAAAACCTCTTAATAAAATAAATTAAATGTGCCCACCTATTGTTGACCAGTTAGCATGTACGTAATTCCATATTTACTTAAAATGACATTTTTAACTGATAAAAAGAAAGAAAAAGCTCGGAGCTTTAATTAAAAATTTGTAAACAGGTTTCTTACTTCTTTATTATATTTTTATCATTATAAGTTTTATTTTAGTATTTCGTCGTATTATTATACAAGCAATTTAAATACTTTAGTTATTAATATATGGTGCTATTAATGCACCATATTTACCAAATGCAAGATAATTAAAAGCTGAGAGTTAGAGTTAACATACAAAAAATCGTTATTTACAATAGGTTAGTTTTAGTATCTGAAACGACTGTAAGCTATCAAGTTTTGATTTTTATTTAGCAATCACAATGTGTGGTACATAATAGTAATTGTACAGAAGACGAAGACCGAGTTATGTCTAATGTAGGTATTTACACTTAGTTATTCCCACGTCGTCAGTCGTTAGCAATGTTTTAATGATAACTAAATGCGGGGCCAACGAACGTAAGTAATATAATAATAACGAACACGTTTTATGAGGCAAAGAAAACGAAAATACGTGTATTAAAATAATTTTGTTGAGATCCAATACCTAAATTTATACTCATAGTGATTTGTGTATAAAATAGTTACAGAAATGAGCTGTGTTATTGTTTATGAAATTGGTGTACCATAGTTATGTCACTAGGCCCCCTCATTGTTACAGGAAAATTAGGTGCGGACTCAGTCAACGAGGACACGACGACGTCGTGCACAGAAGACTCTATGGATGCAAAAGCCGCTTCGCCTTCCACTCCTGCCACCCCTGCTTCACCCTCCGACAACTCAGATTCCGCCTTTAGCACGCCGCGCGCCAAACGGTAACCACACGCTGCTTTTTTACTTTTAAGCGTTATTTTTAAATTTTTGCAATCTATCAGTAAAGCTACCATAAACTCCTGTAATTATTTTAAATATACTCTAATATCTTCAGGCAAATAGAGGAGGCCAGTTCAGCAGAAGAGAATTCACTGGGTGATTCTTCAGATGCGTCGGCGCTACCTATCGCAAAGAAACTTCGAAAAGCTACCCACTGACATCCGCGCACTCCCACCAAGCGTCCCTCGTGCGCCTATAAATAGCTTTCTAGACTAAAATATTGTACCTAGGTAATTTATTTTTCAATTCCGTTTAATTTTAACTTAGCGTTAAGTTTAAGAATACCGGTCGTTTTTGTAAGTTTTATAGGGTATCGTATCGGGGCGGCGCTCCGACGCACCGGTCGGGCGCGCGTCGGGAGTATGAGATTGTACAATATTTCGATGTGAGTGTATCTCGGAGTGGCCCGCTACAGGGCCTAGTTAGGTTTCGTTTGTAATCATTTTAACGTTCGAACGTTCGCATCCCGCGTGACATTCCAATATTTGTAACGAGTACGTCGGCGGCGAGGGCGCAGGGGGCCGTCGCCGCAGTGATCCGGACCAGATGCCTTGACGAGCCGCGAGGCCGTCACACTCACCATTGCCTTATGACACAGTCTGCCCGCAGAGTTTATATGCAACAAGATAATACAAAGGTCGTGTTACCCGGGCGCCGGGCACACGGGCCCACATGTAGTTTTATTGAACAAATATAAGATATTAATTTTATAATGTTGCATTTTTATTTATCGTCCGGATTGAAACCACATATTCCTTATTCCTATTATTTATTTATGTAAAATAAAATCCATAAACTTATACAGAACATTTCTTAATGATACATCTAATGGATAACTATATTAAGATGAGGAATTCATATTATAAATACATTAATTTAAAAACGAGTTGGATTCCTTTTTGTATTGCTTTAACCTTTTGACCGCCGCAGTGTTATATCTCTATGATTAATAGGGATGCAAGATCGTATTGATAAACAACTAATTTTTCTTGTTTATCTCCTACTTTTAAACTAAGTATATGTAAGTAATTCGTGTATTTCAAATTAAGTGATCATGATGTCATCCACTAACGGTAAATGCCGACTGGTGAATGCGTGGTTGGCTCTGTGTTAGCAAAATTTCTCGTATTCGATTGAGGAATCGATCGAGATTGGATTGATGCAGACTACCAAAGACCGAGATAGTTGGCGCTCCTTGGAGGAGGCCTTCGTTCAGCAGTGGACGGCGATAGGCTGATGATGATTTAGGGATGAGGCAGGGTGACAAACACCTATCGACATTTATTGAATTCAACCAAGAGGGAGTTGCGAGTTCTTAATGATCCTGAATACTATTCGAACCCGTCGTTTGGGCGCGAAGGGTCACAGTCGCAATCGCAATCAAATTCATGAAAATCGCTATTTGACAAAATGCAAAAGGTCAAAGTTTTAGACGCTTTGCTATTGATTCTGACTTTGATTTTGACTCAAAATAGCCAACTGTCAAAACAGCGAATAGGTAGCCAAAAAAAAATCAACTTCAAACAAAAGATGTTTAGTTCAGGCATGGCATTCTTGGTTGCAATACTTATTTAACCTACAGTTTCATTTTCTATAACCTAGTGGAATTGGTTCAACTACTACAACGCAAGCAGTTCAGTATTGATGCTTGCTGAGAAAAGAACATCCAAGATTAGTCTATAGTGATATTGACCAGGACCAATCGCAAGATGTTCTTTTCTTCGTCACGGACAATGACGACAACCGGTAGTGTCAAAGGTATTATTCCATCCCCATGAAACCACCGGTATTGTCAAAGTTATTATTCTTTTATATCATGACACCACCGAGTATCTAATAGAAATAAATATAGATAAAGATAATTATTTAATGAAAAGAAACTCGGCCGAGGCTCATTCAGAGGAAAGAAAATGACGACAAAATTTATCAGGTATATTGAAAATGATTTGGTTTGGTTGAAAGTGCATTCCCCAAATGTGTTCAGCGTTTTCAGCGAACGTCATCGGACGACGAATGTTGCAGAAAATATTCATCTTAGATTGAACAATCACATATCAATATTACATATTTATAAATAATATATCCTTTAAAAAAAAAGTTGAGCCGACTTCGTTGTCTGTCTCCGAAACCAATCTAATCTTATCAAACACATCATCATTAAGTTCGAGCTACAGTGCGGTAAATATCGAAGCGGTTCATCAAAGCGATCAAAGTGTGAACCAGCGACCTCGGCGATCACGCCGGACTATTCTTCAGTGTTGTTGAACATTTTTAAGTGTAGTTATAATAAAGTCTGTCTCACACGTAACGATGCATAAAAAACGAAATAAATATCCAAGTTGACTTCCTTTTACTGACTGACTGAGTTCCTTTTTAAAGTCGGTTAAAAATGCAACAATTCAACGTTTACTGAACGTTTTGTCGGACATTCACGATTTGAAGATACCTAATTTTCTTTTCCTGGTAATAATCATTGGATTTTTGGTAATAATCATTGGATCAATCATTTTTGGAGTTTTATTTCAGTTTTTTTTAATGATAAATGGAGTCTTATTTTTTTTAAAGGTTGCATACTTATTAAGAATAGGAATTTGACAGCAATCCTGAACATTGATGCAGTTTATGTGTCCGTCAGTGTATAATTGGGATTGAATAATACGCTTGACACCAGCCTCGGATCCAAGGGAGGGCAAACCGGGGCACACGCCCCGGGCGGCAGTTTCAGGGGGCGCCAAAATAATAATATAGTATGATTAAAAATAAAAAAAACATGCTCACCGCCGACTTGTAAGAAAAAGGCGCTACATAGGCCCACACTACAAGTAAACTTATATATTTGTGAGTTTATTTTCAAGTTTCTGCCTCGGTTCGAAAAAGACAAACAATTGTGTGATGAGTATGAATATTTGTTGTGGCTCAGTGTGGTTTAATTATATTTTGTATTTAGAAATTTAATATATGGGTATGTTTATCAGTCGTATCGCCCGGACTTCATACCGATAGAACACTTATGGGTTGAGCTGAACGTCGGGCTCGAGGCCGGGGACCTTCACCAACAAGGTTTCTAAAGGTGCGAATAACAATTGAAGAGGAGTGGAATGTAATTTTTCAAGATTTTATTTTCATCTTGCCATCATGACCAAAACTTCTTTTTTATTTATTTGTTTCTGGTTTTTTCATTACATATTTACTAAAACATTAGTAAATATGTAATGAAAAAAACAGAAACAATTTAATCAGTTAATCATAACACGACGATAAATTTTTCGTGTGGTGACGGATTAACTAACAATACGGAGTGTCATCACCCCTAATCATTCCGTGGGTGTCGTAAAAGAAGACTAAGGGAGCAAACTGCGCAGGATAACAGCACTGTAAAGAGAAGGAAAACATATTTTCTAAGGAGAGGGCTATGTCCAGCAGTGGACTATTAAAGGTTGTCGATGATGATTATTATCAGTCGCTTGGTTACCATAATGAAAGCTAGTAGTTCGGGATCAAACGTGTGTAGTTTAAATTTTATTAGTTTCCTTTTCACACAATACTAATTGACGAGGACGTCTAATATTTCATTTGAAAAACATCTTAAATGTTTTTAGTTATCGTTTTTGTACTTTAAACAAAGATTATTTATTTACGTTTCAATACTGAATTAAATAATAGATTATTGAAAATATATATTTTTATTGCAAGAATGTCGCGTTTTGTCGATAATCGTCGACCGAGGAGTCTCGGGTACGTTTTCGCTTATTCTCTACGGCCGACCGTGGCGTTCAAAAGGTTTAAAGCGTCACGCAACATAACGTCACACTGTAGATGTAGACTTAAAATGACTAACAAACTTGGGCACGGAATAATACCGATGCGGTTTCGGCAGCAAACTAATGTTGCGTTTCAACCTCCTTGTTCAGATTGGGGTAGAGCGTGGCGACCCTGGTGCCGGCCGCCATGCGTCCCGCGAAGTCGGGGCGGCGCGCGGGCCGCGGCGCGCCGAGCAGCGCGTCCAGGGCGTTGCGCGGCGCCCACACGTCGCCGCCGGCGCCGGCGCCGCCGCCGTTAGCGCCGTTGCCCGCGCCCACCGGCGACAGCGGCGAGTCGGTGGTCGCTCTGATAACTGTAGCACGAGATTCGCCTGTAATATGTTGTTATCTTCTACACTACGACTACACAGAACGTAACACGACATGCTTTAATAAGGAATATGCACGTGACACCAAAATGGACAAAATATTTTTATTTGTAATTTTTATTGCTAAAAAAAAAACCCATACAATTATTTTTGAAATTTATTATAATTTAATAGTGAAATTTAATCATCAAAAATTGTTTTTTTTAAGATTCCCTCGCAAATTTCTAAAACGCAACGCGATTGGTTGAATAAAACGTGACGTCAACCTACACTGTCAAGAGTGTCAACAAGTTGTGTGTATTTGTAATATTTGGTTTCTGGTGATTATTTGTTTCATTTTAAGTTAATAACTAATACGATTTCAGTGTTTATTAAATTCCCGTGTACAAAGACTCAACACAATGACTGAATATACTTTGTCAGGTGCAGTTTTGATATTATTTTGACACAAAGGAACGGCACAATATTTATAATAAGTTTTTATTGGCTTTTCCATGGTAATAAGTTAATTTATATTACTCACTTTTTTAACTTTCACAAACTTTGTGAACTTCACTCCGTTGTTGACATCGAATTCGTCTGAGTGTAATCTGACGTCACAAAAAAAGCGCGCCAAAATGGACGTGTTCAAATTGCCCCAAAATGATAGTGATATTAATAAAAAATTTTTTGCTTAACGGTTTATATTTCGGATGTGTTATATTTATTTTTGGTAATGTAATAACGAGTAGAATCGTTTAAAAAAATAAAAAAAATACATGCATATTCCCTATTCGACTACCGAACCTACAGCTTTCGTTCGTGCACGCGGAGACCTGGCCAGACCGATAGCGAGCATGACATCACATCTCGGAATGACATATAACTTATTGACAGCTCTTAATAGTTTTTTAAAAGACTACCCGGTGCGCTCGACCTTATCCACGTTTCGATTACGGTTACAAGATTTACACCTTTACCGCTTTCGGCTAATGTTCATAATCGTAAATCACAACCTTAACGAATAAACCATTACCCCACTTTTAAAGCGAAATTATGTATTAGTAAAAATTAAGCAATAAAATTGCTTTGATTCTCTTATTTTTTTAACATACTAAAAACTTTTTTCCATTTGGCGTTAAGGTGTGCAAGTAATTAGGTATTCGTATACTTTATGGATCGTTTCTTAAATCTGTTGTCAAAATTATTTCAATTATTTTCGTTAAAAATGACATAGGTAATATTCTTTTTGACCAGGGACACATATATGTGTATGTTTTAAAACAGATGCAACTACGGTTAAGGTGATAAAAATGTAGTTTAAAGAAAGAACAATAAAAGAGCTAAAACATGCATTAATGTCAGGTGAGCAACCATTCATAAAAAATTATGTAAGTAATGCAAAATTTATCCATGCGTTAAATTGTTTTAGTTATTTTTGTTGTTAAGTTTGCATCCACGAATCTTATTTTTTTTTTATTAACACTTTTGTGAACAGCAAGAGTGTTAATTAAAAAAGAATAGCTGCACAAGTATAAATGTAAAAAGAGAAAATGCAACCTCTTTACGAATAGTGACATAACTTTAGTAAACAAAAAAACGCTCCTCGAATTTAGAATTCCTCAAAGTTTATCTCAATAGTTAAAGTCAAACTTTAATTTCTAATCTTAACGTACTTAGCTCTACTGTCAATACAATATTTATTAATTCCAATTGATTTTAAAATATACTCGTCGAAAGTTATGATAGTATCGGTAAAGAGGTGCGATCGAAAGTTTGGCCAGTGCAGTAGAAGCACATGGAGTGAAGGAGCGCTGACCGTCGGCGGGGTGGTTGTTATGCGCGCGACAGTCGAGCAGCACGCGCAGCAGCGCGCGGTGCTGCGGCGCGGCCGCGTGCGCGCGCACCAGCGCCTCCAGCTCCGCCCACACCTGGCGCCACAGCTCCTCGCGCCGACCCATCGACTTGCCTCTGCCGATGCATAAACACATGCCCTTATCGACCATTCCAAATACTACAACTACGTCGATTGGTTCTTTTTTCAAAAAAAGTTCTTTTTTATATCGAAATATTTTATTTTATTGTATATTTAGCAGAAAGTCCACTTACATAATGCCATGGTTACAGATTTTTTTTTAATAAAAGAAAGCCAAACAAAACAATTTTAAACGAAAAATAAATATCTATTAAACCATTGATATAATACTTACATAGATGAGTAATTACCGCCTAAAATCGTTGCTACTGCACATCTGTCCACAGGCATATGCGTAGCAAACGTCAATTCAGTATTCAATGTGGCGTCAACCGAGTTGAACATAGCGACACATGACAGTAACAATCGCCAAAATGGCTAAATGCGTAGTGAAAGAATGCGTTTCAAGGTCACAAAACATTAATAAATCATGCGGAATTACTTTTCACGTGTAAGTTCATTTTTTTTGTATTGATAATATCGTAAATAAGGCTATAATTGAAATAAAACACTGATAATTGTAATTTAGAATCAGTGTTACCATTAAAAAATCATTTTGGTTTTCCCACATTAGTGGGAGATTTTATAATTTGTGAAATAATATGCTTTATACTGTTTTTAAACATTTTGCCAATAATAATAAAATATAGGAAGAACGGTAGTTGTTAGGGCTGGACCGATCACTTTTTTTAGGGACCCGTTGAACGTTCACTGCGAGCTTGGCAGAAGTGCCAAGCTCGCAGTGCTGGAGACTTTTGTAAAAAAGAATTAATTCATTGTTTTTATTAATTTATTATCAATTTTAAATAATAATTGTACAAAATAATAATAATAATAATAAAAAATGTTTTTCATAAAAATAAAAAATATAAAATAAAAAGGTAAATAAACATAAATAAAAATAAAATAAAATGTAAATATTTTTTTTTTTTTTATTTGTTTTTAAAATTATAATAGAATTTGCAATACACCCTGGGGATTATTTATTATCAGTACAAGTTGATCATTCACTTTTATTATTAAATGCTATTATTTTTACATACGTAAAAATAAGATTGTATCATGAAAGTACAATATCCACACAAACTTATAAAAAAGAGTCTAAAAGACAATAGGGAATATGCATGTATTTTTTTTATTTTTTTAAACGATTCTACTCGTTATTACATTACCAAAAATAAATATAACACATCCGAAATATAAACCGTTAAGCAAAAAAATTTTTATTAATGTCACTATCATTGTGGGGCAATTTGAACACGTCCATTTTGGCGCGCTTTTTTGTGACGTCAGACTACACTTTCAGACGAATTCGATGTCATCAAACGGAGTGAAGTTGACAAAGTTTGTGAAAGTTAAAAAAGTGAGTGATATAAATTAACTTATTACCATGGAAAAGCCAATAAAAACTTATTATAAATATTGTGCCGTTCCTTTGCGCCAAAATAATATCAAAACTGCACCTGACAAAGTATATTCAGTCATTGTGTTGAGTCTTTCTACACTGGAATTTAATAATTTAACACTGAAAACGTATTAGTTATTAACTTAAAATGAAACAAATAATCACCAGAAACCAAATATTACAAATACACAACTTGTTGACACTCTTGACAGTGTAGGTTGACGTCACGTTTTATTCAACCAATAGCGTTGCGTTTTAGAAATTTGCGAGGGAATCTTAAAAAAGCCAATTTTTGATGATTAAATTTCACTATTAAATTATAATAAATTTCAAAAATAATTGTATGGATATCTTCTTTTAGCAATAAAAATTACAAATAAAAATATTTTGTCCATTTTGGTGTCACGTGCATATTCCCTATTGTATACAAAACTGATGCTTCACAGCGCAGTTTGATTTTACACTGAATATAAACCCTTTTAACCAAATATTTCCAGTTATTTTATTATTTATACCTATTCTATTCAATTCGAAATATATTATTTAGAATATTTAAATAAATTTACTTTATTACAAAATTGTTTTAAAAAAAAATTGTTTCTTGGTTGTTATGGGTAAAATTTCATACGGTAGTCAACACTGGCCCACCATCGTAAAGTTATATCTTTGTCTTTGTCTAATCCGAGCGATGGTATTGTTCTTGTCTCGCGTGTAAATGAGACATAAATATGTTTACTTTCAAATGTTTAGTGGTATCAAAGCTACGTCGTCAAAGTTCAAAAGTGGTTACACTTTTTTCGACGTGTGATAATGAGGTTTGCTTCTCTAGTGTTGTTTTAACTCAATGTATTAAACATAATGACTTGAAACCGATTATGCATAAATTTTGGCCAAAAACAAACTTCATTCTGTTTTTTAAGTTCTCTTTTGTCTGTCTGAGCGACATTAAACTGGATTTTAATGAGTTGAGTAAAGGGTATGTATGACACAGTATCCAATGATATGTCCAAATTTAGCGCCAGCTTCTCATGCAACCAGGTCTTTAATAACACGTCTTTTCAGCCTCTTGGTGGTAGAGCTTGGCTCGATGCTTATCAGCTCTCTCGCCGGACTATTTGGATGGCGATTTAATCTTTCCGAGTATAAAGATTAACACTAATTCGATCGATAGTCAGTTAGTTTAAAAAGGGTTTAAAAAACGAGTACTTTTTTTTTTTTTTTTTTTTCTTTATTTACGGAGCTTAGCCACAATGATGACTACGTCGCTCCATCATAGCCATTTTTTGTTTTAAAATTAACTTAAATATTGAAAGTACAAGGTATAAATATCATTAGCTGTATCCGTCAAAGGACTGGCCAGGATGCTGTTACATCTTCCAATGTCCATCAACTTATCATTAAGCAGGCGTTCTCTCAGGTTTTGGTTACGAACACATTCCATCAAAACATGTTCTACGTCCTCTACCACACCACAGATTTCACAATTTGGCGTAGATGATAAACCCATTAAAAAGGTGAACTTTCTGGATGGGATGTGTCCAGAGCGTAACCTCATAGCCGTTATCAATTTATGTCTACTCAAAGAACAGTTATCAATCCAAGGGATAGCCAGCGGTTCAGGTTGTATAGTTTTATACCAGATACCCTTTTCGGTTGATCTTTTATCGAAATATTCTTTCCAGTATTTAAAACAGTATTCTTTTACAAGATATAGGCAGTCTGAATAGTAAGGCAGTATTGAAATATATATACCTTCAGAACAAGCCTGCTTTGCAAGTGTGTCAACCATTTCGTTCCCAGTTATACCAATGTGAGATGGAATCCACTGAAGATGTACTGTTTTACCGCTCCGTTCTAACTCAACAATTTGATTCATAATTGTGTATGCTATCGGTGTTCCTCGAATTGTCGAGGTACACCGAGCTACATGTAGGAGGGCACTTTTAGCGTCAGTAAAAATAACGAACTTGTCATGGTCAATAGAATGAATGTAAGATAAGGCTTCACTAATAGCTATTAGTTCAATACACATGATCGATATTTTTACGCTAATTCCATAGCGAGCGAATGCATTTTGCTGAGGATCGAAGAGGGCCGCCCCCGCACCACCTTTTTCTTTCGATCCATCGGTAAATATCTGGTAATAATTCGGAAACCGAGTATTCATATAATTAAAACACAAATCTCTCAAAACGGATGTCCTGTATTGCTGTTTAGGCTTGTTTATGTAATCTATATTATCTTTTAGATTTTTGGAAATATCTATATAGGCCATCCACACTCGGCTCTCAAACATCTCTAAATTTTGGCTACAATGAACTTGCACTTCTCTCAATTGTTCGGACATTATTATTAAAACAGGTTTATTTTTCCTACGCCATGCGATTAGATAGTTGGCTAAATCCTCTAAGTAGTTAATTATTTTAATCTTCGTTAATAAAGATTTGCATTTTAGTAAAAATTTACCGGCTAAGTAGCATCTACGTATATGTAACGGCTGTATCGCTAGTTCACTGCTCATTACATGGATAGGTGTCGTTTTGATAAACCCGCCGATAATTCGCATAGCCTGATTTTGATTTTTTTCTAATTTGCATAAATGTGTTTCACTACTGTCACCGTATAAAAAGCTACCGTAGTCTAAACGACTCCTCAGGAGAGAAATATACATTTTTCTTAAATGTTTCGGGTGTATACCCCAACTTATCCCCGCCACAAACTTGAAATGAGAAATTTAGATACTTTTTCATTAATTTCTCTTATGTGTTTAGCCCATCTAAGAGATCGATCTAGCCACAAACCTAAATATTTTACACTATCTACTACTTGTATGCTTGTATTATTCAATTTTATAGAAATATTTTGTCTATTACAACCTTTTTTAAAGACGCATATTTTACTCTTAGAGGGCGAAATCTCTAGACCAAGCTCAGATAAACTGCCTACGATATTCTCCAACGAAGTTTGTAATTGTTCAGCGGCGGTAAATATGTTTTTATGTGTACAATAAATAACGAAATCATCTGCATATTGTAAGATGTGTACTGAATCGGTATTATTTTTTTTGCAAATGTCTATAGTTGCCACATTAAACAGCAAGGGTGACAATGGGTCACCCTGTGCCAATCCTCTGCCGGTGCTGCGGGTCACCGACATACCATTTATTACTAGTTTAAGATAACGTTCCCGAAGAAATTCAAAAAGGTAACTACATATTTTATGTCCCACCCCTAACATATCTAATTTATATAAAAGATTATTGATATTTATGTTGTTATACGCGTCATCTATATCAATGAAACATCCGATTGTTATACAATTTTTACAGAAACCTGTTTGAATTCTTGTTACTAAATGACTTAAGTTATCTAGACAAGACCTGCACTTTCTAAAACCTAACGTGTCGTTAGAAAACATACAATTTTTTTCTAAATACCACTCTAGTCGTTTCTGTATAATTGCATGAAAAATTTTGCACAAACATGATATAAGCGAAATCGGTCTCAGTGCCGATGAGGAGTGGGTGTCCCTCCCAGGTTTAGGGATAGGTATAATACTAATATCTCGCCATTGAGTAGGAACTGAACCCGTCGAAAGAAAAGAGTTATACAGTTTTACTAGAACTAATTTAGCGTTTAGAGGTAAATTTTTAATCATACTGTAAGAAATGTTGTCGAACCCAGGTGCAGTGTCTTTTGTTTTAATACTTTGATTTAATTCCTGCAACGTGATTTCAATATCTAGAGCCGAATTTTGTGAAGAGAATATAGGTTTACATCGGGGTACATCGTCAGGGGTTAGGCTATATAAAAGAAGGCTGGCTGTATCTGGGTCAATGTGTCTTTTTTGTGTTTGGTAACCTTTAATCCACCTAATTTTATTCCATAGTCCGCTCACTGAGGTGTTTTCGTCTATAGAACTACAAAATTGATGCCAAGACTGTCTTTGGGTCTGTCGAAGCATCCTCCGTGACACACTTATTTTCCTTTTTAGTGCAATTAAATTTGCTGGGGTGGGGTTACGTCGAAAGTTAGCTAGTGCTAGTCGCCTCTCTGCCACTGACTTGGATAGTTCGGGGTTCCAATATGGTTTAGGCCGAAAATTACTTGTAGGGTTAGTACTAAATTTTATATTAGGGATGCACTTCTCGGCGGCATCGTATAAAATATTTAAGAACGAATTATAAGCTAATTGAGGATTATAAAGAGTGGAGGTATGATAAGTATTAAATTTTTCATCAAGGTAACTCTCATAGACTGTCCAGTTAGCCCTTTTGAAATTTCTTCTTTTTTGATACTGCTCATTTGAGTAAAATGAAGTAGATATTTTAATAATCATGTGATCGCTTCCCAACGTTTCATTTGATACCATCCAATCAAAACCCAAAGAGATATCAGAGGACGCTATAGATAAGTCAGGAGAAGATTTTCTATATACATTGTTTACAAGTTGAAAACGTGTAGGGCTACCATTATTTAATATCATATAATTATAGTCTAATATTGAATCTAATATTTGGTTTCCCCTCGTATCTGTTTTGTAAGACCAGTTTGAATGGTGTCCATTAAAATCGCCCAATATAAGCGACTTTCTGTTTGCCATAGAAAACAAATAGTCCCATGTCTGAGAGTTTGTCGACGATTCCGGAGCACAGTAGATGGCAATTAAATGTTCTAATTGATTGCAATTAAATAATTTTATATGAATTAATTCTAAAGCAGAATTAGTTCTATGTATTTCAACCCGTTGTGTTTGAACTGATTTATGCACTATAATTGCCACACCACCATATCCATCCCTATCCAGACGAAAAATATATTAATTATTGATATTTACATGAGTATCTGGTGCAAGCCATGTTTCACTTACCACCGCAATATGGATGTGTTCTTGGATTAATAACTGTTCGAATGACTTTAGTTTGGGCTTAATACTTCGGGCATTCCATTGTATTATGTTCAATCTAATTAATGTATTGGAAGCGTTATCCATTAACTGACGTAAATATATTTTTTAAAACAGACATATCGGGTATTAAATTACTTAGGAATATGTTAAGCCAATCTACAACCACTTTTAACCCATCCTTAAATTGTGTTTGAATCTGATTTTTTATGTTATGTATCATCTCTTTAATGTTATCCCACACACGCCGAAGTGGCGATATTTCGCGAGATTTTTTCCTTGTATGAGGTTGTGTAGTTTGAGAATCTTGAGGGTCAGCTGAATCTTCGGGGTTAGAGTCAGTGACAAACATATCCACTATAACATTATCGGACAGGTGGACCGGAACTTTTGTTTTCTTTTTTTTGTGAGTCTTTTTTGTGATAGTTGTCTTTGGTCGCCCGTTGATCTCAGCTAATTCGAATTGTTCGGTGTCAATACTCGGTGCACTGGTGTTAGATGATCCTTGAGAGGCAAGGCCATTGTTGCTATTAATTAAAAACTTGTTTGCTTCGGCTGTACGACGCGGAGAAGGCGGAATAAAAGTCACGGCTTTTTGATAAGTACACTTCAGCTGTGACATAATCTCACGAATCCGTCTTTCCCTTGCGTAAACTGGACAATCCCTTGATAGTGAAATATGATTAGCAGAGCAGTTGACACACTTATAAATAGGTATATCACAGTTTGCGTGATCATTTTTGCCACATTTCGGGCAGAGAGGCTTGTTAGAGGGGCACATCTTCAATGTATGACCGAACCTCCAGCATCGTGAGCATTGTGTCACAGGGAACACAAACGGAGAGACAGCAATTCGTAGGTCCATTAAATAAATATGACTTGGTAAAGAATTACCCTTAAAACCAATTCTCACGGTTTCACTCGGAGTCCATCCTTCCTCCGTTCTCCTATTCATCCGCTTAGCGATCACAAGGTCTTTATCAGCCCGAATACATTTTATGAGCTCCGCCTCTGATAGTTCCACATCTATATCTTTGATGATTCCATAGCATAAGTCAACTTCCCAAGTTTTTTGTCGGCGACAACCAAGTTCACTTAAGGCGGTACAAGATAAAAACTTCTCGGCGTTAATTTCCTTATCAAAAGTGAATGATACCTTATAAGGGTTAACATATTTAACTCTTGTGACTCCAGTTATTTTATTTTTGTTTAGTAACTTTGCCATAGCGAATTGCTTAGGTAGTTTTTCTTTAGAATATACGCATATCTGCCACATATTTTCTACCGATTGAGTGCTGGAAAGATCTATAGATTTTCTTTTCTTCGCAACCGTCTGCCAACCTTTTTCAGCATTCTCGATTCTTAACCGCTTATTTGTTAGTTCTTCATTTGTCTCCATGTTCTCCTCTAAACAATATGTATGGTCAGTCTCACCACGCTGGTCAACTATGGAATTTTCATCGCAGTCATTGTAAACACGTCCGCTAGCCATTCAGAATATGGTTCATATTAACTTCACACAACAGATGGCCGGGCGCCGATCGCGCTGCGCTGAGCGATAAGAAACCGGTTAGTTGTTTACTATATTTGTTAACCACTAAGAACGCGTTCTAATCGCACGAGGTGTGAATTAGCACTGAAAAAAAAAAAAAAAAAAAAAAAAAAAAAGAAAACAGTACTTAAAAATATAAGACAAAAAAAATATAAGACTTCAAACAAAACCTTATAAATTTATATTATCGTAGTATCGTACTAGCTGTTATTCTATGTTATATTATATTTTACTTTATGTTCTGCTCTATTGAAACTATAAGTACACGCTCTATGAAAATTTAATAACGACCGAGTAAACGATACTACAGTGCATTTTATACGAATAAACAAACATCTATACTAATATTTTAAAGGAGTAAAGTTTGTAAGTTTTTTATTCGGGGTATTTTCGGTACTACTGACCCGATTTTGAAAGTTCTTTCACTCTTAAAAAGGTTATTTCAACAATAAATCACAATAAACGTAATTGAAGGCGGCATAAAGTCTATCATATGGTGTGCGCTGAGGCTACCATAATATGAATGCTTTGAAATAAAGACATAAAATTTATTTCAAAAACATTAATTACTTTTAGCTATACGTAACGTAGACTTTGTGTTTCCCGAGGATAGTATAATCGTATAAACATAATATAAGTAATATTAAAGTAAATTAGTACATAAATATAAATAATATTCACATATTCTGTAAATTTTATATATTCTGCAAAGTTTTATAGACTTGTACTTTAATTAAATTGGTTTTGACCTCTGGCAGTAGGCACAACGGTCATTGTACGAAATTGTTTCAGCTTCGCGATCGCACTACATGCGGGGCGCGGGGCTGAGCAGAAATACCAGCCTTAGTAAAATGCATTGAACAGTTTAAAAATTACACAAACAAAATATGGCACCCGTGTGAAGCCGGGACGGGTGGAAAGTTTATAATATTTTTCTACAATAGACTATAAATTATATATATAATTGGAGTATACCTCATGTTAGAAGGTAGCTGCGAGGTCGGAAACTCATGGCGAGACTCCATACTGAGTAGCGACAGTAGCACGTTTCGACAAGTATCCACTTCTTCGTCTGTTAGAGTCTCTTGTACCACAAGTCGGGTGAGGGGCTCTAACACCTACAGATTAAAAAATATATATTTAATACAGAACTTATACAACAGCAACTTATCATAAATAGTTTTAAGTTACCCATTTTTCTCAAAACAAAATAAAACATCTGTATTATCATTAAAGTCTTAAAACTATTTTGTTTCGTAATTCGTTTTGTGGTTCTCTAGCAAAATCAATATTTTTGTTCTGCAAGAAAAAAGTAGGAAAACAATTTAAAAATTATACTTTACTTCACAAAGTTCGGATTGTTTGTTATTTTCTGATAGAGACCTTTTACACTTGGTAATTCTTATTGTAGTTATATCCTAAAGGCCTTCAGAGTCTTTATATTTGAAGAGTTATTATTTTTGGCGTTATAGTTTCTAACTATGTTATCTTAAGTACTAGAGACATCAACCGCTGTCCGTCGCATGCAGTAAACTTACAGATCCTAGATTGAAGATGAGCGTGGAGGATATAGTGAGGGGCCAGTACGTGGTGTGGCGCTGGAGGCGCGCTCGCGCCCGCCCGTTGGCGCCGGGCCCGCGCATCGGGTACAACCTGTTCTGTTGCATTAAAGCACCGAATTCCTTTATTCTGCAAAAGATAAACTTACATATATTGTGCTTTCTTTGCCTGAAGTTTAGTGCAGGAATAATCTATATGTATATTAATACGTAACAATAATCGTTTGTACGCACTTTTTAAGCAAAAGTTAGGGCAGAAAGTTATCATTTTTTAACAATATATTATAAGGCTATATTTAAGTATATAATTTGACCCGTTATAGTACAAAAGTCTACATATTGACAAATCAATTCGTGGTCAATGAAGTATAACAAGATATTGAATACAGACGCATTCGACCATTAATATTCATAAATACTTGACAAACCAATAAGTCAACTCTTAAAATTACTTGTTTTTTATTAGTGGCTTGTTTTTAACCTCTCTGATCTAGCCACTTGTTTATCCTTACCATGTCATACTTGTTGTGAATCGAGTAGTAAGTGACTTATGACTTATTAGCGCCTTAAAACAAAAAAATGAGCACAAAACAGGGTTAATTACTCATAACGTCAGTACATACTATATTAAATAATATATTGTATATCGATCTTTACCTATAATCTGTTACCCTTCCACCAGCACCTTCAGACAACGCAGGTGGGTCGTCATAAGGCGTACGGCCACCTAATGCTCCAATCCACAACTCACCGCCCTGAGCCGCTAACACGTGGGACGCTGACCGTCCACCTCCTTTCCTGCTTTAAAATTGATATATTTAGAAAAAGCGTGACTAAACGTGATTTTACGTGTATATGAATCTATGTGTATATTATTTATGTGTTATGTATATCCCTGCCAAGGCTTACACTTCTCCTCATTTTAAGTCGACAGTTCTCCTTAGAGTACCTATATGCAGAGACTTGTAATTAGCAATAAGATTATTTAATTGTAATTACACAAAATTGTTATACGTCTGTTAGTCTCTCTAAGAATAATTAAATAAATAAATAAATATATTTCTTATTTAACCGTTTTATTTTAAAACATTGTTTATTTGCATTCATTCATTAATGGTTTATATATATCTATAAAAGAAGAATCTGAGAGACTGATCACTGACTGGTCGATCAAGGCACAGCTGAAACCGCTGGGTCTAGAAGCATGAAATTAACCACAAACGTTCCTTAGGTGACATAGGAGAGCACTAAGAATTTAAAAAAAAATCTTTCCCTAAGAGATGGGGTTGGAAATTTATATGAAACTTCGCAATGCTTAGTAGTAGCGTTTTCAAAAATAATAATTAGACACATATTTTTTAACCTTTCAAACTATCCCTATGTATCCTCTACGATGTCTGATGTCGATCACCACACGGACGAAGTCGTGGGAAAAAACTTGCTTTATATAATGACATCATTAAAATAATAAATGAAAACGGTAATTGATTCTAGAGAAGAGATTCAGGGTGGAAAAGTTACATTTTTTTTTAATATTTGAAATAACGACGCGAACGTCTAAAAGGGCATTTCCTTTTACTGGGGGCCTAGTACTAAACTCGCAGTAGATCCCCTGTACAGTAAAACACAATTTTTAAGTCAGTCCCAAAAGTTTCAATACAACACCTTTATGTTTTCTAACCGACTTGTAACAACGTATTGTTGTCACTTTATATATCGTAATATATAAAGTCTTATTAGTAAACTTGTTCTCGTAATCGTTCGTATGAATACATACCTAGGCACTTCAAGCGTGACTGAGCGTCCATTAAGAAGGAAATTGACGAGACAGGCGGAAGGCCGCGAAGCTACATCAGCTGGGGTAACTCGCCATAGCGCACCTGAACAGCCTCCAGCCCCACCCTCCGCACCACGTGGTGTCCACCATCTCAATACAACCTGCCAAAAATTAAATAATACATTAAATCTTGATCTGGTATTCTGAATGACATTATTAACAGAAGTTTATAGATATGTATTTCAATCAATGTCAGTTGTTCTGATTGTTATGAGAACATCTTGCGGTCAAACTGAAATTCTCTAATGATAATACTTACAGATTCAGCTGCTTCAGCGGGTGTTTGTGATGCCCTTAAACCAGTATGCGCTTCTGCTGGGTGTATTATTTCCACGTCATAGTTCGCACTGGAACTTGCGTTTTGTTCTTCCTGTATTTATAGTATCATAAATATAATTAACTTATTAGGATTTAGTTCGACAGTTAAGAATGTGGAACATTAATTCCAATATCAGATTAAGTGCACTGCAGCTGAGCGCTCTGGTAATCCGGGTAATTATTAAACCCTGATGAAGTCTTATGTTACCTTTAACCGGTAAATCGGCCAAAGTCACGGTTGGTACATCAGAGAGGCTAGTGCAAGTTTATTTCACATCAACCCGCTCGCACTCAAATCTGCACCAATCGCAACGCCGAACGCTCGCTGTAGCTACACTTCAAACAAACTTTACATATTTTAATAAAATGTCTATTCATTTTCTTTTCTAGTAATGTTGATAATACACACCTTCATAGGAATCCCAGTAACCGTGGTAGTGGCAAGCCGGTAGTGTGGCAGTACCAGACGGCCGAGGAGATTCGCTAACGCACTTGCCCGTGACACTATGACTTCCACACCGATTATGCCACCTCCCATCTGTAGGTTCCAAATCATTATTATTAATATTACTCAACTTGCACAACGATATATAATACTACCTACCTAATATTAACCTACTACTAATATTTTAAACTATACATAAAAAAGTTCAAGAAATTAGCAACTTCATTTTAAAATAAATTCCATCCTGCATGTATCAGGCCACTCAGAAAGCTTTTATGTACGAGTATAGATGGAACTTCTTGATTTTTTATTACTTGGCTCACCAACACTAATAATTAAATATTTAATTTAATTTATTACACTTTAATATTTGGATACAATGGCATTAGATACATTCAATAGACTTATAACCTAGTATAACAATTTCTTATAGGTTCGTACATCATGCACTACTTTATTTGTTAACAATGTCACAACAACAATGACAAAAAAAAATATGATGAATGTGAAATATTTGAAATTACATTAATCCTAAGACACTGAAAATAATAATGGATTATATTTAAAAAAATATATCTGCAAATCAAAGTTACGAAGCTAGCACTATAGCAGGCCAAAAACACGCGACACTTTTACTAGATTTTGTGAGTGAGTCAGAGTGCACATCGACGAAATTACTACAACTGTTTAACAACCTGGAGAGGCGGGGGATAGGAGAATTAGCCTTAAGGATGGTTCTGCCAAGAGGAGGATGTAAGGAGTTATAGGAGCTCTTAGAATTTATGTGGGTACACGGATTTTTATCCTGCCCAAAAATTGGGAACAGTGAATTTTGTCTCTGAATTTTAAATAAAAAAACAGAAGTTGGTAAATCTAGCCTCTTCTGTAGGGATATCATATTAAAATGAAAAAGTCTGTCTTTGTACGATGATTTCTTCTTGGCTATCTCGGAAGAGTATTCTAAATGCAACAGTAATCATTTTTAAACCCTTTCCAATCTTAGTGTGTGGCTGGCATAGTAAGGTCTTCATACTCGTACAGTGCTGCAATATTCTAGTGAGCTACAGACTAAACAATTACAAAGTAAAATTTTTGTCTAACTGTGTTGGAAACTTTAAGGCTTTTTTAACTACATTTTGAATGTGAGGGATAAAAGTTAACTGCCTATCGAATAAAACTCCTAAGTCCCTTATCTGTTCCACTTCTTGTATCAGGCTGTGACAAATATGATATGATAATAAATGAATGACAAAAAAAAAATAATGAGATAAAATTCTGAACTTTATTTTGTAAAAAAGATCAGATTTTACACACAAAAGTGGCAATTTATATATTCTCTTTTTGTCTAATCTATTTGATCCTATTTCGAGTGAATATTTGTCTAATTTTATTTTTATAAATAAGAATAGTAGCAACTTCAAACCTCCCTCGTCATTTCAACACGAATTTAATGTAACTGTTGTAACTGAGAACCCAATCAATCTTGAGAACATTTTCACCTGATGATTTTAAAAGAATGATAGACTTTAAATTTTATTAGTGGACGAAGGCACTTCCAATGCTACATGTACAGATTTTTCATTGAATTACAACTAAATCGACAACCTTGGTCGATAAAGACAAATGTGGTTTAATTTATTTTATATTTTTCCGCAATGTGACTTAAATTGCGGAAAAGTTGTTGAATGTCTTATCTTAATAAGTAAACGCGTTTTCTTTTTTCCGTCTGTACTTAAACTTTTGCAGTTAATTACATTACTTCTCAGTTAGAAAAGAAGTGTTGTGGAGCCTATGAATTTCCGTATCAAATCGGTCATTATATTAATAGGGAATCAACTTACTTCTGTGAGTGGTTGGTTAGTAACTCTGATATCTGCATTTTCTGGTGTTACATTGATTATTACTAAATGACAGTAATGCACCACCAAAGATCTGAAATTTAAGAAAAAAAAATAGTTTAAAAAACTAGAACTAGATAGAAAATAAATTTGAATTAGTGTATTGTCATCGGTCCTCGATAAATCTACAAAGTTTGAACGAATTCTGACCGTTTAAAGTCAGTCAAAATCACGCCCAAAGGAGTCGGTTACAAACATACAAACAAACATACAAGTGAAGCTATAATATAAAGCGTGTAAAAAGGTAATAACTCTTCTTTGCATAACAATGAACCCGTTACGTCATTCATCAAGATCAAGTCATCAAGCTCATTTTCAGAAGGCAGAGCGGTCCACTCAACATCCACCAGCTGATCTTTTGTTTACGAGACATAAATTAAAGTGGGCAAGTGGCTACTAGACATCATTCCTAGCATAAATTCTTCATAGCTATATCCATACATAATGTTACTATACTTTTCATAGATAATAATAATAATTTATATTCTTACCACAACATCATAACAATTACAATAACTAAAACAATAACAAAGATTGGAATCAATATTGAGGGAGACTGGTACCTAAGGTAGGCTTTTGGCCAGTATTTCAGGTCACCAGGTCTTTCCTTCTTAAAATTGTCTTGATTGCAACGTTGTTTTCGCCAGTTTTACGATTTTATTATTTTTAAATGTGTATATATTATTGTCACTTGCTGTTGATTTTCACACAATAAATAATTAAAGCCATTTCTGTGGTACTGTTAAAGTAACATTGCTAGTGCTTTCGACACCCGCTCATTGCAAACGTTCTACTATTACTTGTTTCTAAATATAGTATGTTAAATATTTATTACCAAAGAAATACATTTAAAAGAAAATATATTCTCGTTATAGTTATAGTTTTGCTTAGACATCCTCGGCCTCATCTAGTGGTTAGTGATCCGAACTGTTAAGCCAGAGGATATGGGTTTGATTTCCACGCATTTGTTCATCGTCTGGGTGTAATTCATCTATAATATGTTTTAAGAAATATACAAGTACGTTTATCAGCAGTCTGGTTACCATAGTACAGACTCTGTCTAGTTTGGGATAAGAGACAACTCTGTGTGAGGTTATTTTTATTAGTTTGTTTAGTTATATTTATTAAATGACATGTATATAAAAATTATGGAGCTCTGAAGCAGCAAGAATCCAAAACTGACGATTCTATTAACAATTACAAAACATTTTAGGTTTACTCTTTTTTCAATACTAAATTACTTGAGATATCTTAACTTACACAAGTGCTTCTCATCCCAAACTAGGCAAAGCTTGTACTATATTAACCACACAGCTGATTAACATACTTATATATTTATGTATATATTACATATTAACTAAAAAAAACTACTTACTGAGGGGTCGTACTCGTCGATTCTGAAGTAGATGCTTGTGGTGTTATCGCAGCTTTCTTGTTCTGTTGTACAAGTGTGTTGTGCGCGATTTCTGCTAAACTTCTAATGGAATCGTCATCTCTAGCACTAGTTATACAAATTATACGGCCGCTGAAAAGATAAAGTAAGTTTCTTGTGAGGGTTAATTTTTCTTTAAGAAAAGGTCTAAGTTAAAACATTTAAGTGTAGGATGACTCTTTATTCAAAATAATGTCAGCAAACATTCTTTAGAGGTGTAATATTCATTCATTTTTCAGTTTTCACCTCAACAATTATAATTCCTTTAAAAATAGTTGACCTTGAATTTCATTTAAATATCTAAGTGATGCTAAGTTTACAGGCTGGCTAAATCTCGACATTTGTATGCAAATTTCAAGATTATATGATGAGTTATATTAGACTAATAAGAGTTAGAGTTATATTTTTACCAATTTGGGAGTCATTTACATGCTCGTGATTGATCAGATATTGAACTTGTTTTGGCTATAGCATTTGAATTGTCGTACTTTTCGGCTGTACTCTACTTATCACTCTTGCTTTTGGTAATATTTGAGAAATACACAAACCGCAAAACACTACATAGATGTATACAAGTGTCTGAATACTTTGTGAGTAGGGTTGATCTAGCTAAATTCGTGTTGAATGATTACTAAATTAGACATTTAAATAGATCGTATGGTATTCATAAAAGAAATAAGGAGGGAGAGTAACAGAATTAGTGTGTATAAAGTATTTATTAATAGTTAAAAAGTATTACTGATTCTGAAAATGGCGATCAGTAGGTCTTGCAGCCTGTGCGGGTGAGGGCTCCCCTAGTGCTTGTATAGCAGCACATAAGCCCGCAACATCACCACCAGCTCCGCGACGCACTGGGCCCACTAGGCATAAGCCATTTAAAATCTATAAAAATTCAACAAACATTTAAAAAAAAAAAAAAGATATTAATATTTGTCAGCCCAACTGCTAGTCCATTATTCTCTACTTCGATTTCGAAAAGAAACAAGTTCTAACTTACATGAGTTAGATTCTGTTGTGATACTGCCCAAGTGTTTAGGATATGTGCAGCTGAATCACTCACTACAAACCGGACCTGAAAAATTCAAAGTAGACCTGGTTAGCAAAGACCCATATCAATCCCATCATATACATTATCCTATTTCCTTTGTAGTTGCATATATGTTTTACATGAACTACACCAAGACTTACAAATAAGAATATAGAGTGTCACCACTACTATTCATCCCATGGGTGTTGTAAGAGCTGACTAAGGAGGCAAAGTACTCAGGATAACAGCACTGCAAAGGAAAACATCCTTTTTAAGGAGAGGGCTATGTCCAGCAGTGGACTATTAAAGGCTGTTGATGATGATGATGACACCAAGATAGAGAACTTACTAGTGTTCATGCTCATCACACAATATTTGTGTGGGAATCACACCCACAACCTCTGGCTTAGCAATCAGGGTCACTAACTCTACTAGACCAAATGTTCCATCATCTTTTAGGTTTATCCTGCTTAGCTTATTAGTTTATTTAAAGTGGTTCAAAAATAACAAATTAAAAAATTATTGGAAGAATATTAACAGAAAATTTAGATTTACAGTACCTATATATTGTATTTAAAAAACAAGTAGTCAGTACATTTTGCAAAACCTTATCTAATAATTTAATAAATACTTCCCAATCAAACTATTAAAATTAGCAAATTAAGTATTGTATTTTTCCTGACTTTCTAAGCAGTTTTTAACTTGAAATGCAAAAAGAGGTGTTAAATTGTGACATCCGTAAATATTTACCACAAACAGACACACATGTCATCATAGTGCCTTAACAAATGATCTAGTCTAAAGACAGTTGGCCCTACTATTCCACTGTACACATTGCTACAAACATCTACAGAGAGGAGTATCCAATATCTAGCTAACAACAGAAGAGGGAGCACATAATATTATAGAATATTCATCATAATATGAGTCAGTATAGCCTAATCCTGTTCAGGAAAATGTTGCTAGAAGCTGTAATATCAGCCTAAATTACATAACTTAGAATATGTTATAATTTTCACTAACATTAATCTCTACAAAAATAATATATTACCTATGATTAAATTTAAGAAGTTAACAGCCATTCAAATATAAAGATATATAATTTTTGTTTTGAAAATAATAGACATTTATGATTTATAATTTGGAATTGAAAATTAGATGTTTAAGTTAAAATAAAAATTTTGAATTTTAGAATAATCTGATTAGTTTGTAATTCGGAAATAGCAACAGGTATTTAGGCCTTACCAATTTTCCGTCTGGAAAAAGATCCCATACAATACGACAGTACTCAACGGCAGCTTCTACACTACATGTCCATAAAGACTTACAAATCGGTGGTACAGGAAGATAACCCCGGTTTTTAGGGACATCGAAATCTATTGGACTTTCAGAAGATATTCCAAAGTAAGGCGTGTGGTCCAAAACAAATATAGTCTTATGGTTGGTAGGGAACATCATCTCATGTTTTATTAAACTTTCATAATTCATAACATGATATTATAACATTAACCGGCTATGTTGGGAATTAATTTATTTTCGTCAAATACTTCGATATGACTTCACTGACAACAGTAATAAACTGAAACTAGAGATGGACGATATACATCGATTTATTTAAAACACTCGATGTATAGTAACGATGCATCGTATTAAACCGATGTATTGTTAATACTTCAACATCGAATATATATCGATGTTTTTTATTCGATGCATCGACCAAGCAATTTATGAATGAGTATAGTGTTGTATAGCCGCCAAATAGCTATAGTTTATTAAACGGGGTTCTTTTAATTCGCCCGTTGGAACGCTGTAGGTCGTTCGACTCGTATTATTCGTTTGTTCGCGGGAAAATTAAATTAAACTTGATTTTTATTATTTGAAAATACTAGATTATGAATTCGCTTTAAATAAATACTCGCTGAATTGAACGAAGGAACCGACTGAAGGGGAAGAGATTAAGTAAACTTTTGTTTTTACATAGCATTGACAAAAAATATTGGAATATGTAAAGAAAAATGTTTTGGTTGTGTGATTTTGAATTTGAATAAATATATTTCCTGCTTTTATTAATATATATATATTTTTTTTAATTAAGGCCTAACCTAACCTAAAACACGTCATGGCGAAAATAATCGATGTTTAAGAAACATCGATGTATTTCTCAATACATCGTATTACCATCGATGTGACCGATCGATGCATTACATCGTAAAAAACATCGATGTATATTTTAAATGTCCATCTCTAACTGAAACTGATGACAATAACAATGACACTTTGACAATTCAGTTGACATTTCGTGGTGCCAATCATGGCCCTTATGGTCCCGCTAGTGTCACTACCAATCTTACTAAAACATCATCATCTTCATTCATCTTCTTACCTGTAGTAACTTCGTACTTCGTAGTTGCATAAAAATTTGTTTTTTGTTATTAATAATCGAAGCATAAAAATATATTTGGCCTTGCATACCATATTAGTACAGAAAGTTAATACTACTGTTTTATTATTACGAGTATCTTTTTATTAATTTAAAATTAAAAGAAATCAAAAGTACAACCTGTTGATTTTGTTGTATTGTTGTAGTAAATAAGAATGATATCTGATGATGTGCTATTCTAACCCCTAGCATGTCAAATAAAGCAATGAAATAAAACTAATTATCATTTTAACTGCCTTATAAAAATGAAGAATTTAAAATACTACGAGCTAGTCGTATAAGCTGCCGAACCAGCGTCGTTCTAAGAGTGAAGACGGAGGAGCGATGGCTTTTAGGCAAAAACTATTTAATGCAATTGAGTTTGAGTTGAGTTTGTTTGAGTTGAATTGAGACCGCGCGTCCTTGAGGGAGAATAACTGTTTCGAGGAATCGGCTTCTATGGTAAAATAAACTTTGCTACCTAAAGTTCCAGTAAATTTATCAAAGAACTCCTGCAAGCTACTACTACTCTATTTAATACCTTAGTGATTGTGGAACCTAGTAATTCAGTACTCGAGATGACAAATGGTTTAAACAATAGAGTTGAATTTTGATGTAAGAAAACACGCGGCCCCTGCACGGCGGCGCGTATTTCTATTCTGTACAAGGCCAAAACGCAATGGTGTGGTTGTGTGGTATTTCCAAACTATACGCTAACGGCGAATAGATTGGACTTTATTTCTAAAGTTTACCAATTTATGACAGAGTAGTGCGTAAGTACTCGTGTATACTTCGTAGTGACCTAATTACCAACCTTGTTTCAAACATACATCGCCAGTATGTATATGGACTAATAGTGTACAGATCGGAATAGTAAAATATAATTGATCTATTGTACATGAGGATTTTTACAATAAATTAGCCGCCCGCTCCGACACGGACAGATTAAATTAGAAAGTTAAAATGGGAGCGAAGCAACCTTAACGTTCGTGGTTAAGGTTTTAGCTCCGCTAAGCTAAAACCTTAACCACGAACGTTAAGGTTATTTTTTAACTACTAAGATTTCTTTGTGCAATTTTATGTCTCAAAGAAAGAGGATAAATCATTAAAAAATATTACTGTTTAGGTTTTCTTGCTTGCAAGTTACTTTTTGCATAATTAAAACGGTTATTCCAAAGAGTACCTTAAATTATTGATATTATTTTCTAGCAATGTCGATAATACTCGTAAATACGACTGTATTTATTTGAAATTATTTCAACCTATTATGAGATGGTTCTCTTTGCGTCTACACTCCATACTTTTTATTTATATTTTTAGGATAATAATAAATAATAATAATAAATGTGTGTATATGTTTATTTAAAGAACTAATAAACAATATTATTATAATAAAACGATAATGGTAAGAAATATTTTGAAATAAAATCAGTCAGTAAATAACTGTGTTTGGTTTTGAATTAATAGAAGTATCACCAAAATTGAATCACCAATGTAAGAATGTTTACTTAAGGCTTTAAGTGTCCAGTTTTAAAAGTATGTAAGTGTCCAGCTGTATAATGAAAATAGGGGTCACTGCGTACAAAAAAACTACGATATGAACATAGCTGTTGTGCTATGACGGAGTGAAGTGTGCTGAGTTAAAATATTAAAATACTTTTACTGTCTGAAAATTATTATGGTTATTATGTTTGTATGTATGAAAGTTATGTAGTCATTATGATCTTGAAACCCTTCGAGGAGACTTCCCCCAGGGCTGAGCCTAGAGGCGCGCTAGGAATACATTCTGAATGGTGGGGGACGCGATCAAAAAACTTAAGAAGACATTGAATTGCACAGTTAGTATCTCTCCCATATTTAATGTTTCCCATATTTCTGTTATGCTTGGTAGGTACAAGAGTATTGAAATAGTATGAATATTGGTATATTTTTGTTTTTTTATTATTATATTCGCGTTCGCATAGGTACTATAAGCTGAATATGTACTAGATTAAAACATCTGATTTGATTTTTATTAAACAAATTAGCAATATGCTTGAGTTAGACAAGTCATTTACACTATTTTCTTATTATTAATAAAATGATTGGGTTAAAGTTGCGTGGTGTGGAAAGAAAGTAAGCTCCCTTAAAGGCCCTTTTACTGAGCACAGATTTTGTTCATAAGCCCACCTGAACAAAATATGTCAGGTACAAGTTTGGTCACAGTCATAATACTGAGACCAAACTTGTACCTAACTAAGTCTTGTCTAAAATATTTTCCATAATATCCAAGTAATAAATATTTTAAATTTTGGTATCTATACTTCATCTTCAAAATATGGTATTTCTTTATCTTAGTCAACATACATCACTTGGCATTGAGAAATGGTAAAAACCATAAATTCGTTCAAAATTTAACCTTAATGTTATTAATTTTAAATTATTTTAAAATAATGTTGCAATTGGATGAAATGAAAGGCTTTTCTATTTTCATTTTTTTTTACCATTATTGTAATTTTCAAGGTGTCCATAGACAAATAGAAACTTCTGAAATAGACACTTTAAAAACCGGAATCTTCTATAACAAGTACGTCACTATAGTGAATGTGAGAGAATGATAAAATGGTGCATTCGTCGATCAAACCGGGCCACACATCCGAAGCCAGAAATTAAATTATCATCCACCATTTTGTTTATTTTCGCGAAAATAAGTCTTTTCCCGGATACGTTGTAAAATATTCTTGTTTTCCCGTTACATGACAGAGTGATCTAATAATTTTGGCAATGTTAATAAGATTAGGAATGTGCTATTAGCGTTCCTACCCAATATCGGGCCCTTGTGTTAAAATTTGCAGACATCGGCCGCGCCGCTAGTAAACACTCTTTGAAAATTAACAACTTAACGTCGAAGAAAAGTAAAGACCCAAACAAGCAGGGCACCCGAGTCGATGAGAAAAGTTCGCTGAAGTTTGTCCAACGGATTTTCGGCAAGTGTAAAGGGAGCAATCCCCTGGCGTTAAAGGTACGTGAGGTGCACTCATTGGACGTAATAAGTGTGAATAAGCGGTGCACATACAGTTTACCTTTATAGTGAAATATTTGTTCAGGAAATTTCAAAAAGTTGTGGGCGAGAGTCCCCCGTGGCGCGCCCAGCTAAAATGAACCACACGCCTGCCCCGGACAGGCAGCAGCACGAGTCCAATGTCAATCAGGTAGAGGAGATGGAGACTCAAGATGGTTAGTAATGTCACAATATTTACGTTCTACAGTCTATTACTCTGATACCTAAATATAATCTATGGTTAAGGTAAAAATACACTGAATCTACCAGTTTCTTTCTTGAAAACTGCTTACTCAATGTTTGTTATTGAACATATTAGCTGACAAGATTCTCCTACTTAACCTCTAATTATTTTCAATATGAACATATTATTTGCAAAAGAAACTCTTTATGTCATATAATATGGTAAGTGGTATAAGTATACCATTGAGCATTTACTTATTAGATTTAGCATTCTACTTTCTTTGTTCTAAAAAGTGCAAGTCGCTGTTGAGTGAGTAAAATTAAATTTCTAAATATAGAATATCTTTGTCTTACCTTGTTATTAGGAGTACAAAATTCAAATAAAGTGTATATACTAATATCAAAATAACCACAGTGGTGTGCTGCACTTTGCTAATTTATATCAATGTTTAGATTGCCCTAGTGTATTTGAACATTACATTCACCATTGAATCAATGAACTAGAGTTGATGGGAGACATGAAAAAATTGTAGAAATAAACAAAACAAGTGTTTATCTTACAAATATGTGTTCCCTAGAATATATAGATTAACACTTGATAAAGTTATCAGTTTTTTTTATCATGGAATATCTATGCAGCAACAACACCAGTTTTATTATTCATTTTGAGTTGTCTAAATCACTAAGGCCTTAGGTTTTATATTTCTTTCAAATGTAATGTTATCAACACTTTTGTTCTTATTAGTTAATTTGTTTGCTTAACCTAAAGAGGGTGTTAAAAGAAAAAAATCAATGCAGTAATACTGGTTGGCTTGTGCCAATTATTGCTCTTAATGTCAGTATGACAGCAAATGTCAGTAGTATCATTAAAACAATGGATGGAATTGTTCATCTTGAATATTTTTACTGTTATTAACATTAAGCAAAGTGTAGTTTTCTTTAAACTCTTCAATTTAAATATTGAGGTATATATCTAGTTATATACTATGTAATATATTAGTGTGGATAGTATATCAAAGAATAAAATTACTAGATTTACCTTATAAGATAGCTTTACTATTACCTAAGTGTTTTGATGTATGCAAAATAACACCTTTAAGTTAGTGAAAAAAGCAACTGTTTGTGGTCAATTTATATATTGCATTCTATAAACAGTTAGTCTATGTTTACTCTCATGACCATTGATAAGTTTGTGACCAACCAAAACTACACTTACAACTTTTTTTGAGATGTTTCTATAATTGTTAATTACAACTTTAGGTTGAACACTTCTTCATATTATATTATATGATAAAATTTTGAATGCATTAATATTTTAAGTAAATAAAGAATTGATTGCTTTCCAAATAGAAATGTCAGTGTTTTTTTTTCAAGTCCATCATTGGTGTATTTACAGATCCCCAAGTCTGCATGGAAGACTTAATTTGTAAATTAGTGTTTTAACTGTATTTGTTTCACAGTGGAGACCGTAGACACTGTTACTGAGAAGACTTGGGACGACGATCTTATGAAAGGTCCTAACGGTGAGGTAGTCATGGGAGAGGTCATGAAGAATCAGGAGACCACATCTTCTGATATGCCAGTGAGTCTGTAACACTATTACTATCTATACAAATAAATAAAATTGGAGTGTCTGTTTGTAATATTAAAATAACCGCTTTTTACTAAATGCATATGTATGTTTACACGGTACATATGCCAAAATAACATTTTCTACAATTTTTGTCTGTCTGTCTGTATGTGTGTTCCGGGTAATCTCTGAAACGGCTGGACCGATTTCGACGGGACTTTCACTGGCAGATAGCTGATGACATAAGGAGTAACTTAGGCTACTTTTTAAGACTAGCTTCGCCCCGCGGCGTTGCCCGCGGTTATAACAACAAACGCGGGTAACACCGCAGGTCTCAGCTAGTTTAGTATAAAACTTGCAGGTTCTTGCTCTTTATGGTACAGTTGTATCTTACATTCATTTCAATACTGTTTTGCTATGAGTATGTGCTTCATTTGCTAATTAGTATGAAAATAAGAATTCTGTAAAAATGGGACTAATAATAAAATAATGATATTTCTGACATCAGACACATAATGTCATTTAGTCTCAAACTAAGCAGAGCTTTTACTATGAAAGATAGATTGACTGATAGAATACTTTAATACTTTTCTTTTTGTAAATATAAATACACATTATACATAGAAAATACCCAAGCTCTGAAACAAATATTTTAAGATCATACAAACATTTGGTCTGACCCGGGAATCGAACCTGAGACATAAGCACAGCACTCGCATATGTTACCACTGCATCACCGAAGCAGTCAACTACACTAGATATCTTGTGACAGGAAATGGAAATAACCCTTAAAACCACACAATAAAGACTACATTTTTTTCTTTCATTTCACTGAGTCTAGTTATGGTATTACACACATAAGCTTGTAGGGCCTGTTGTTCTAATGGTTAGCAACTCTGACTGCTAAGCCAGGGATTGTGGGTTTGCATCCCTCTCTAGGCATGTTTTGTACTATTGTGTCATGAGCATGATCATTTGTTCTCTGTCTTGGTAGAGTTTATTTTTCTATTATATGTAAGTATTCAGAAATATATATTAAAAGTATGTTTATTATAGCACATGCTGTATAGTTCGGGATCAGACAACTGTGTGTGAGATGTGTCAAGTTTTTATAGATAATTATACCCTATCACTTTAGGATAGCTAGAGACATTATCTCACCATTAATTTCTATCCTGACATGCCTCAGGAATTTCCTCTATCATCATCAACCCTTTCATGTAAGCTCACTAGTGAGCTAGAGCATCTTATGAATTGCTTTTCTTGAGAACTTGAAAATTTGGTCATGGTTTCTTCTGTGTGGTCAATCAGTACTGGTCACACTACTAAAAATCTCCTTATATATTTGTTTCACACTCATTTTTTCCACATGCTGTAACCACTGCAGCACACCCTTTGCAATGGTGGTCAAGCCATGCTGCTCCCAAATATCTACATTTCTCTTTCTTACATGTATCAACTCACTAGAGTATGATCTCTGTTTTCAGATCAGTCTCTAAGAGGTGAGAGGGAGGACATGCAAACCTCTTATATTTCATCTATTTTTATTTTCTTACAACTCAAACCATAATATGTGTCCCTTGCTAAAAGCGACTTTTTGTTTCTCACTGTACATAAATTCTAGTTATGGCCATGGTCAGGGATAATATTTGGGCCAAAGGAAGGTATCTCAAACTATGTACATCAATTGGCAAACAGAATGAAAACCAACCAACTGAAAGCCAGTATGGATGTTTTGTTCTGTATTAAAAGAGATCTTAGTTTTCAGATTCTATTATTATGTGGCTGTATGTATGCTAATTATATTGCCACTTGTATATTTATCAATCAGCTCATTTGTGGTTACTTAATTGAAAAATATAATTAAAAATAAAAATATACCTTGAAGAGTCTGATTGAATATCAGACTCTATTTTAAAATTCATTTTAGGAAAAGGTCAAGATTAAATTTTTTAAATCTGAAAGAATCTTGCAGAACTGATAAGTTAAATATTATCAGATTAGTTATCTTACATTCCAACTTGCGAATTACGAATGCTTTGTAAAATCTGTTACATTTGATAGAGACGATCGTCGTTCACTATTTATTAGTTCTTGATGACTCATATCTATGTTTAAATATTATCATGCTATTAGTAAAAACATGTCTCGTGCAAAATATATTATCACTCGCCGTAATTTAGTTTGAAAAATGTGTCGTAACAGTAATTTATGAATAAAATAACAAGAAGAAAAACAACAGGCGATGCATAGAATAAACTTCCTATTTGACGAAGTTTAAACTTTTAATTTAAAAAAAGGAGTTTAAAAGGAGCTACTAGGTTCTTACATTGTAATTTTTTTTGTAGTTTTGTAACCACAATTTTTTTTACATACACCATACATTAGAGTTACTATTTAACTCTAATGTGTGGTGTTGCCAATTTGTAATACTTATTGAAAATATATGCTACACAATTGCAATAATTATTATATAGTGCCAAAGTAAGTCAGCCTATTTATTTGTTACTGAGGAACTGAATGAAAATTTCCACAGCCAACGCATACCGAAAAACATACTGTTCCCAAGTTTGCTACCATGACTTAAATTTACGATTATAAATAAAATGTATGTTAGTAAAAAGCTGGTTCATTATGATTAATTTATTTAAGAGGTTTTTCTTCTTCTTTCAGCTAGCCTGTCTGGACACCGAAATGGAAGACGACGAGGCGCGATCAGAGGCTACCTTCCGTTTCACAGTACAGAACTTCAGGGGTCTCAAAGATTCTGTATTATCACCACCATGTTATGTGAGAAATCTTCCATGGAAGATAATGGTGATGCCCAGACAAGCCCCTTCCCCCGATCGTCAGCAACAGAAGTCTTTGGGTTTCTTTCTCCAATGCAATGGTGAGAGTGAGTCTTCGAGCTGGTCCTGTTATGCTATGGCTGAGTTAAGACTTATCTCCCACAAGGCAGATGCTGAGCCTTTCTTCAGGAAGATTCAGCATTTGTTTTACAGGTTTGTAGTTTTATATGCATGATAAGTTCTCACTAAAAATACACCTATATTAAATGCTCAAGTTAGTCGTAAACGCCTAATGAAATTAAAGTTTTTAAACATTTTTTTTCAGCAAAGAGAACGATTGGGGTTTTTCTCATTTCATGTCTTGGAATGACGTGTTGGACCCAGAGAAGGGGTACATAAAAGACGATGCAATTACTTTAGAAGTACATGTAACAGCCGAGGCGCCTCACGGCGTCTCGTGGGATTCTAAGAAACACACTGGATATGTTGGTTAGTAACTTGTTTTAATTGGTTACCATTGTGAATAAAAGTAATTTTAAACTACTTTTTTTAATTTCTACTTTTTGTATGTCACATAAATTGATATATTTTACAATTTGAATGAAATTAATTATTTATCAACAGTCACAAATTAAACAATTTTTTTTTGTTATACCAAAAAAGGTGATTTCTGATTTCTTCTATACATACCTACTACATGTTAAATGGACTATGTTAATATTTTTTAAATATTTTACAATTAAATGTTAGTAGTTAGTATTATAATATGCTTAAAATTAATACTTTGTTAGGAATCTTGTCATAGTAGCTTTGATATTGATATGTGATTGTCTTTTTCCTTTTAATGAAATCCTTTTAATTTCTACTACCTTTTTATCTGTATATGTTATAGTTGCCTGTTAGACGATATGTGTTTGTATATCACTAGAACTTCCATAAATAAATGTTTCTTTTAATTTTTAAAGGTTTAAAGAATCAAGGTGCCACTTGTTACATGAACTCCTTGCTACAAACACTCTATTTTACGAATCAACTACGTAAGGCTGTCTATAAGATGCCGACAGAATCTGACGACAGTACTAGGTAAAATTAGATAATATTTATTATTACAATCAATGCTAATTCATTATTCTAAAAATTGTCTGATCTCTTTATATTTTTATTTAGGTCTGTTGCATTGGCACTTCAAAGAGTTTTCTATGAGTTACAATTCTCAGATAAACCAGTTGGCACAAAAAAGCTTACTAAGAGTTTCGGCTGGGAAACACTGGATTCCTTTATGCAACATGATGTGCAGGAGTTTCTTAGGGTATGTATATTGAGTTGGAACATTTTATGTTAATGTGTATCTTAGTCATAGTTAAAATGCTAACTTTAAGAAAGATCATTCCAGGCCTAGACTCAACCCTGAAAGTCACTATCACCACAGTTAACTCTACACTTAGATTGTATATTTTCTATTTTTTCAATCATTCAATGAATGTATGCAGTTTTAAATTGAAATATGCTTTAAACTAGGTATTATTGGATAAACTGGAGAGTAAAATGAAAGGAACATGCGTTGAGGGCACAGTGCCGCGCTTGTTTGAAGGAAAAATGACTTCATACATCAAGTGCAAGAATGTAAATGTATCCAGCACAAGAGTGGAGACCTTCTATGATATTCAGCTTAATATCAAAGGAAAGAAAAACAGTGAGTTGTACACTTCATTAAAATTAAATACCAATATCTTAAAGTTTAACCTACAGTGGATACAAAATGCTTTTCTTTTACTGATTTCTTACTTTTTAATTAAAGATCCTATCTCTGCTATCTAATTGCTGTATAAGAATAACCTACTACTATATTAATAAAAAACAATATGTACTATTATTGTTAGACCAAAATAAGTACTTTATTTTTGTGACAGCAACATTTGAATTTATCTTAAACTTTATTTTTTTATCAACCTGTTTCTGATACAAAATGCTAGATAGCATATCTACATTCTGTTTACTTAACTATTTGCTACTTCTGAATCATATGGTAAAAATATTAGGTTTAATCCCAGCTATTTCACCTGTGGTTGTGGTTTGGTCATAGACAAAGATATATGCCATTCATTTTTAGATTTTTGAGTTATAATAATAGTAAGTCCCAGTGTTTTGTAAATTATTCACAGTTCTGATTATATGATTTATAAATCATATGATTTATCACAGGTGATTTTGAATTTATTCTATCCCTACAGAATGCTGGTGATGAGCATTACATTATATTTTGGTGTCTATTAAAATATAAAAGAATTACCTGTTACCACTAAGCATTAGGTACATTTGGTTCATCATCATCATCATCAGCCTATCGCAGTCCACTGCTGGACATAGGCCTCTCCCATTGCACGCCACTTAGATCGATTTTGGGCTTCTCGCATCCAACATTTGGTTGGTAGGTTTTTATGAGAAACTATATCTATACTAAATTTTGTTTTATTTCAGTTGACGAATCATTCAAAGATTATATAAGCACAGAAACATTAGATGGTGAGAACAAGTACGACGCTGGGGAGCATGGTCTGCAGGAAGCTGAGAAAGGCGTCATTTTCGCCTCATTCCCGCCAGTGCTGCATTTACATCTTATGAGATTTCAATATGACCCCATCACTGATAGTTCTGTCAAGTTTAATGATAGGTGAGTGATTATAATCTGATAATAAATAACAACTTTCTTATTGACTATTTTCTTAAAAAAAAAATAATAGTGAAAAGCAAGCCTTGCAGTAAAGAGTTGATGTATCATGTATGAGTTATATAAATTATAACTTCTGCTATTAATTTTTTTATTTAAGTTAGATATCTTCTTGTAAGCTTATGTTGTATATGTTAATTAATGGAATGTAAGTATGCAACTGCAAAACGTAATTTTATTTTTGGGAATAAAAAACCTTTGCCTTCTAGTTGCATCTTGCACTTGTGTATAAGGCTGATCAAGTATTGATGATAAATAGTTATCATATTTTTATTCCTACAGGTTTGAATTCTATGAGCACATCAACTTAGATGCATATCTGCAAGAAAAACCAGAGACTCCAGCAGACTACACACTACATGCAGTGTTAGTACATTCAGGTGATAATCATGGAGGACATTATGTGGTGTTTATCAACCCTAAAGGCGATGGAAAGGTAAGTTCATGATATTTCCAAAGTGTAATGTTATGTATGGTGTGATAATGTCTAAGTATCACGACTTGACAAAATATTAACTTTAACAAGCACTGCAGACATCTAGCACCCCATTAGACATATGTTGTTTTGCTGACGTATGTTTATAGGGATTAGTAACCAACCCCTAACAATCAGTTAGTATCTTAAGCTTATCGACATAGTCTAACACTCAGTGAGCACCCAGTGACTGGCAGTTATAATAATAATATAATAATAATATATCCCACACACTCACACACGGCTGTCTGATCCCAAACTAGGCAGAGCCTGTACTATGGTAACCAGACCGCTGATAAACATACTTATATATTTCTAAATACATACATATTATAGATAAATTACACCCAGACACAGAACAAATGACCGTGCTCATCACACAATATTTGTCCTGGGTGGGAATCGAACCCACGACCTCCGGTTTAGCAGTCAGGGTCACTAACCACTAGACCAACAGGTGCATACGGTCGGCAATTTTAATTATGTTTTTTTTTTAAATAATTAGACGAAAATTAATTTGATAATTTTATTGACCACGTATTAAATAACCTAACAGAAGAGAATGTGATACATGTACGGAAATAGTATATTCGAGATTTTTACAATCTGAACTATTACAGCAAGGTAAAATTTAGAAGATGGTGTCCTCTGCATTCTGAAGTTGTACAATTAACGATAAATGATATTTTTTATTATTTTTTATTAAATTTATTATTTAGATTATCATTTATCATTTGTACAATTAACAATCTTCATACTACACCATTTCTTTCAAAACGTCTTGATAGTTATTTAAGATTGGATATTTACGGCATATATACGTCTATCTGGTTGTTAATTACAGTAAAACCTTACTAACACGAATGGGTCAATCATATAACCGAATCAGAATTCCCATAGCAAAATAACGTGAGTATCGTTTGTAAATGAAAAGGCTGAACGCAATAAACGCTATGATAAATGCTTTGGTTAGCACAGCAATACATCCTCACTGAACAAAGAATTGTTTAAGGATATGGTAGGTACAAAAATATTTGTTGAAAACATGGTAAATTAAACTTTGAGTCATGGTTCACTAGTGGGATTCATCACCATCTCAGCCGAAAGACGTCCACTACTAGACATAGGCTGCCCCCAAAGTTCGCCACAACAACCGGTCCTGTCAAAACTCAACGGCTTCTCACGATCTCAACCAGGTTGTCGGACTACCTTTGCCTAACCACGCTCCGTTTTCTAATGGGATTCTAATTTTTTTTTACATTTTTATTATTCGTTATATTTGCTCGAGTGACTTTTTACTTGTTGTTTAGTGGTGCAAGTTCGATGACGATGTAGTGTCCCGCTGCACTAAGCAAGAGGCCATCGAGTACAACTATGGTGGACACGACGAGGACATGGCGTTGACTGTCCGTCACTGCACCAACGCTTACATGTTGGTCTATATTAGGTAAGACTTGCTATTTAGTTACAAGCTATAACTTACAAGATCTTACGTTCAAGTTAGCAGACATTTTTTAGGGAATAAAGTAACCAAGAGTCGAAAGGGTAGCAATAATGCTATCTATCTGTCTCTTTTTATATTAAGAATGAATTAATGAAAGATTTTATAGAATGTATTGACAACTATTACAAAAAGGACTTTCTGTAGCAATATCTCCTATTTGGAATATTATGCAGAAACCACTATACTAATACCATATTTTCTTGTAACTCATAGGGACTCACAGTTGAAGACTGTCTTACAAGAAGTAACACAAGCTGATATACCCACAGAATTGAGCGAGAGGCTTGCTGAGGAAAAAAGAATCGAGACCGTAAGTAATTTTTGATATACCGTTGTTTAGCACTAACTTTGCTGAGTATTACCACCGATAAAATCTTCTATTCCAGATCCGTCGCAAAGAACGCAACGAAGCCCATCTTTATATGAACGTAAACGTGGTCTTAGAAGAGGCGTTCGACGGGCACCAGGGCAACGACCTGTACGATCCTGAGCGCGCGCACTACCGCGTGTTCCGCGTGCGCAAGCAGGCCACCGTCGCAGAACTCATGGAGATGTTGGCCGAGAATTTCAAGTACCCTCTGAAACAGCTCAGACCGTGGCCTTTTAGCGCGCGCTCTAATCAGGTATTTATTATTTCAAACTGGTGTGTATTTGCTGTATTCAAACTACCAAAATTGGCGTGTAATGGGAGAGGCCTATGTCCAGCAGTGGACTGCGATAGGCTAATGATTATGATTGTTTTTGAAATATGAAAATATACAAAGTACCTAATGAATCATTTATCTAACCTTAAGACTCAATTTAACTTTTATATGTACACAACATGTACATAAAATGTGTGTATTAACTTTTGTATTTTTTGCAAAAAAGAGGGCTAAACTATATTAAACTCGTATCTTTTACAGACATGCAGACCAACCTGCTTAGACATCATCAACGATCAACACAAGACTGTGGCCGACGTATCTGAGAATATGAACCCTTGGAATATATTCCTTGAGATGTTGCCCCCGGACTCGGGCTTCAGTGCTCTACCTACATTCGATAAGGAAAACGATGTTGTATTGTTCTTCAAGTTCTACGACCCAAAGCAAAAGCGCATTCACTATTGTGGACATCATTACCTTCCTATTGCGAGCAAACCTGCGGATCTTATACCCATACTGAATAAGCGCGCAGGTAAATAATATACAGATTGAGCCAAGAATTTGTTTTAACTTTAGAAAAAAAAAAAAGGTTTTCTTATGGCTGTCGTCGTGGCTGTTTGTTGAAATTCCTAAAGTTGGTTTACAGATATCTTGTTTGTACATCTTATTTTATATCGCTTACAGAAATGATTACGAAATGTCAGTGATGAAAAAGAGTATATATATTTCTAGGTTTCCCGCCAGACACTGCTCTTGTATTGTATGAAGAAATTAAACCCGATTTTGTGGAGAAAATCAGCAACTACAACGAGCCTCTAGAAAAGGTATTATTTATCAGTTTTATCCTATCATATGATTTACTTGTTTTAAGCATAAATATTTATCCATGTAAACACTTGTTTATTTTTAATATTTACTGGTGTGTAATATATTTTACTAATTATCACTGTAACATTGATGATATTCATATGTACCTATTGATAGTAAGTTTTATGCAGAATGTAATTAATATAATACTGACAAATGCATAGAATAGTGTATTGATATATTCATAATTTAAATTTTGCCAAATTATACTTGGAAAAATGTGGGTATTTTAACACTGCTACCTAAACCTACAGGGTTATGGGCGTGAGTGAATGTATCTATTTATGTATTGATATTGATATTTTAAATATTAGTTCTATATTAATTCCTATATTCAGGTATTGCTGATACAGGTATAATATATTATAGTTATTTGAATTTATCTTTACATATTTGCGTGTCATTTTTCAGAGAATCTTCTTTTTTATAAAATATTATAAATTTTATGATAGTCATAAGATCGTTAAAGACAGATTGTAATATAATAGTACTGCAATATTACATGTTTGTTGTCCGTGTGGTGACGGATTAAAAATATGGAGTGTTGCATCGCCTTTTCATCCCGTGGTTGTCGTAAGAGATGACTAAAGGAGCAAGATTAATAGATAAATTACACTCGAACACAGAACAAATGATCGTGCTCATCACACAATTCTTTATACGAGGTGGGAATTGAACCCACAACCTCTGGCAGGCCACTTGACTAGCTGATTCGTCATACACACACTTTCCCTAACAACTATCGCGTGCAATAGTTACTTAAAACCAGTCCCACAGACTTATTTACGTGAAAATATTTAATGATCCATTAGTTTAAACGTAATTAATTATTCAATTATGGTGCCAGATGTGTTTACGATCCAACTGTTTAAACGTGGCATCTGCCAGCTTTTTTCTTATTATTCTACTGTTTAAGTACACATTTACTACTATCTCTTTTTTATAAATTTTTAAAAGAATTATCGAACGTTATTAGTTGTTTCGACAGAATAAATTCTCTGAACAATGTCATGTCATGTTTTTTGTATTTGTATTTATCAGCTTTTGCCATCATATTATTTTCCATTTAAAATTACATAATGCTTTCTCAAGAAATTTTAACTACACTTATTTAATTTAATCCATTATTAAAACATACTTGCTATTATTTTATTATTAAATGTGTCATGCCTTGCCCTTTGTCCGTTAAATATTATCTAATACGAATATGTGAAGTAGCGCATTGATTACATTGAGAATTAACTATCCTTAGATAAAACAATTCTAAAAAACTACAAAATTCTGAAGTTGACATTACATTATTATTTTTTTAAATAATTTATTAACGTAAATTTCTCTTAACCCAATTTACAGAACCATTTTAAATGATTGATTTTTGATAAATGCCTATGGTAATGATAAACATATTAGATCATAGGATACATTAATAAAAAACAGCTTCTTTACCGGTATAATTTAAATTCATACTAGTGCTATTACTGTTGAGCGTATCACATATTGGTATAAACGGTCCGGACGGAGGGCATAAGGCGGGCTACCCTCGGGTTGAGTCGTGTGCACGCGGCCAGGTATTGGACGAGCTGATGGACGGCGACATCATCGTGTTCGAGCGCGCTGACCATCGACACGAGGACCTCGAGCTGCCCACTTGCCAGGACTACTTCAAGTATATCTTCTACAAGGTTGAAGTGCAGTTTGTCGATAAAACTGTACCTAATGATCCAGGGTAAGTAAAAACCGATATACATTGCCAGGCCAAGCGTTGAGTTACACTCTTCAAAGAAAGTCCGTACTAATATATAAAAAAAAGGAAAAAAGAATATAAACAGAATACAACAGACCCATCATTAAATAAATTAAATTAGTTATTAAATATGCATGAACTCAGTTTGGAAACCAGCACACGAATTATTTCTAAAGTGCCATTGTATAAGCTGTTTTATGGTTGACTTATGATAAATAATACGTTTTGTTAATAATGTTATTAGCTTATATATTAAGCTTATTTCTATATTGTACATAGTGTATTTTTGTAAGTTAAGACAATAGATAAGGATGAAGTGAATGGGCTTTTTAATGATTACAATATAATGACACGGCTACTACGACAATGAACACAAAATAATACGACTAGCGACAAGCTCTTGATTAATTACCACCGCACGACTCTTTACACAAACTCGTTACTGCATCGTATATAGCTATATAAGCCTGGCTTAAAAATATTAATCCAAAACCACCAACGTGTAAATCCGAAAATTCGTGATTTTGTGTGGTGGGAGGTTTTACTTTATCAAATACTATTATATTCCACATATGTAGGGACTAATCCCACCCACACGCCCACCACTGTAACTCCTGTACACCAGGATCCACAGCAGTGACCCTCGAACACACCGAGTTATGACACTCGGGAAGACCCAGGAAGAAGTTAAACTGTCTTGGAACCCGCAAAGAAATTTGGAGGAGTTGGAAATACAGTAAATGATACCACCATGTGTTGATATATTCATTATGAACTCAATGTGCTGGTATTTTTTTTTGTAAAACACGCCACCAATTACAGAAGGAACTTCGAGTCGAACTGACTAAAACTACATTATTGCATGATAAGTTTTCTTACGACAAGCTACAACTAATTTCAGAAATTACATAAGTAGCGCTCGTAAGATATGAATCCGTAGCCTTCTCCTGCTGGTGATTTGGTGAATTTCCTCGTATTCGCTGCTACGCCTCTTTTGCCTATGAAGAAAACAGAATCATCCATTACCTACTAAACGATCCGGAGAGACGGGAGATCCGGAGAGAAGCTAATAGTAATATCATATTAACTGTAAGACGTTATATTTAGGTTTACAATGGAGCTATCGATGCAGATGCGCTACGATCAAATGGCGCGAGCAGTTGGACAAAGGCTCAACGTGGACCCCTACTTAATACAGTTCTTCAAGTGTCAAAAGTATGTATTACTATTTTGTATAAGAATTTTACTATTGCCTTAAGCATTTTGAGACAAAAAGGAACAAACCAGTTCAACACTTTCACCGATAAGTAACGGCAATTGTTTAAATATCTTTTTAACAACTTTATAGTGCATTTGTTTGTCTTGAACTTGGTATTTTTATCAAAAATAATTCACGCATTCAGAAAATTTCACTGGAGCATACTGTAATTCAGTTATTTTAGAAGATTGATTTTTTCCTTGAAGTAAAAAAAAAATTGCTCTAATTGTAATTTATCTCTTTTTTTTGGTTGTCATTCAAATCGAATATTTGTAGCTATTTCTATTCTGAATGTCAATATAAAAGTAAAAATTGACATTTTTTTAAGGATTTAAGTGTATTAGATATTTTTCTGTAATTATTTACTAAATTACAAGTTACAACTTTGTGTTAGTGTCATGTTTACTTACAAATTATACTAGTACACAAAGTTTAAACTTCGCTAATGTCAAACTTGTAATCTATAATCTATATGCAGTTCTATGTATAAAATTCTATTTGTGGCCTTATTTCCATAGAAAGTAGGATATTGTTTTTTGCTATAACGATAATAAAAATGTCAGAACTACATCACAATTATGTTTTGTTTCAGTTACAAGGATACTCCTGGTCTGCCTTTAAGATACTCATATGACGGAATACTTAAAGATTTACTAGTGTACTGTAAACCAAAGTGCCCTAAGAAATTATTCTACCAGATATTATCTATTAAAGTTAATGAATTGGATAACAAGAAACAGTTTAAATGTTTATGGGTATGTTAAAAGATCGTCTACTACTTATAATAAAACCAATGTTATACAGTTAAAAAAGGATTCTGTGATGAGAATTTTGCAAATTAAGCTTTCCGTATGTTCTCTTTCATTTGTTTTATTATACCAAATACGCAGATAAGCTACTAGTTCTCATTTTATTTGTAATATTTAAGAGTGGGAATTAATGGAACCTTATCTGCATGACAAGTTCGTACACAAATAGACATGATCTTTTCAGTGAATTATCTCCGACTTTTATCCCTAATCACACTGTCGGAGCCAAAACAAGTAGCTTGATGCAGCATTCTGCCGAACCTATTCACCAATACCATGAACACTCGCTTCAGAAGATCTCCTTTATATGGACTTAATCATTGCTTTGTTTGCGGAATTTTTGGCTATACTTTTGTTTGAATGTTTGAAATTCAGTGAGAAAAATGCATGATCAGTGTAATATTCGTATATATGTTCACTTTTTCAGATTTACTTGGTATAGTTAGCAAAGGTCAATAATGCAGCTGTGGACCCGTTCTAATTAATTAACCAATATGTTTTAGGTTGGACCAAATTATAAAGAAGATAAAGAATTAATTTTGTATCCAAATAAGGGAGGCAAGGTAGCAGATATTTTACAAGAGGCAGCGAAAGTCGTCGAAATGTCGCCTGACGGATCCGGAACGTTAGTTTTTCATAACATTTAGCAATACATGTACTTCGAATACCCAACTAATTTGTCTTTTGATAGCCCAATTGACATATTTGTAACATAAATCTATTCCTTTCCAATACAGCAGGAATTATCATTGTACAGACTCTGTTCTACTAGTTAATTCTTCTATGTACACGTAATCTATGTGTTAAAAATTTCACATTCCGTTGTACGCAAAATTTGGTCAAAGATACAAACAATTGTTTTCGATCATTACTATCTGTATATAATACATGTATCCCTTACATTTTTTAGGTTAAGGATCGTAGAGGTGTCATGTCACAAAGTATTACCAGGGCCCGACCCTGAACTGACGCTAGACCAGGTGACCATCTCACCTCCTAGACTATACAGAATAGAGGAGATACCTAAAGATGAAATTAATATGGCGGTTAGTATTTTATTTAATAAAGATAAATCGTATTGGTCACGTGTGTATTTCGAGATTGCCCGACTAGTTTCGAATTTTCAGGGAGTCGGACGTGCTCCGCGATATCAGAATATCTGTAAAACTGTCACACACCTTACCTTGAAAACATTGTAGCGATTACGACCTATACATTTTGAACTTAATTAAATACTGATATTGTTTACTTTTTCAGGATGACGAAATTACTGTACCTTGTGCGCATTTCCACAAGCAAGTGTACGCGACGTTCGGTATACCCTTTTATACGCGCGTCAAACACAACGAACCTTTCCAGGCTGTCAAGGACCGCCTTCAAAAGAAGCTTGATATACCAGATAAGGAGTGGGAAAAGGTATGTATGAATCAACTACTGTATTCAACACCTCAAATGCTGTAATTACTTGTTTTAGATCTAAACCAGTAGTAGTCTAGTATTCATTCCTGCAGTTAACAAAGTAGTTTAAAAAGGCATCACGTTATTCGTGATACATCATTATGATGTTGGTCTTTTGCAATTGAGTATATGTTAAATTAAAAGAGGTTAATATCATCAATTTGAAATTGGAATTTAAATAAAAAATTGCATCTCAAGATAATGTGCGTAAACAGTTGCTAAATAAGTATTATTTAGCGCCCTGTGGTATTACATGCGGTTCATCAAATATATTTCAATTTCTTGCTAACAGTAATATATCACAGTTAGTGTGATAGTTTCTTTTACAAAAATACCAGTCGTAATTAATTTCAATTGGATTGGATTGGATAAAAACTTATTTTAGATAAAAATATTTTTATTATTAAACCTAGTAAAGTAATGCTGAAAATTCTTGTTATTATTTTTTGGAACTTTGAAATCACAGTAAAAGCGCTTCAGGTAGATAGATAGTGTATGCATAAGCTTATTAAACGCGTACTTAATTAAATGTCAATACATGCGGATGATTGTTACAAATTTAACTAAAGAATATTCAGGTATTTTATGACACAGAACATATTTTAATTGAATGCTTTGGTTTGTTTCAGTACAATTTTGCTATAGTGACAAATGGCAGACCTAATTACATAAGTGAAGGAGCGACAGTTAATATTTATGATTTCAGGTCAAGTAGTAATGCAAGTGAGTATTTTATTCTCAGTATAAAATTTTGTGAAGCCTTCAGAAATTTATCTTACATAATTTAAAGTCTTTTCCGTCAGTTTGTTCTTTAAATAACATATGGTTGATAGCTATAACTCCACTAGCATAAAACTATGACAAACCTTATGACTAATGCTAATTCCACCAATAATATAATTTACTATTTGAAATATTATTATTATTTATTTATATTTATTTTATTTTATTTTATATTATATTTATGTACGTTTCTGTAACATAGATTCTATAATCAGCTAATGCTGATTACGCTTTAAAATAAATGTAATTACATTTACATTTACAATTAAATGTAATTAAATACATATAACTAAATTACTAATCATTTCTTAAAATTGTTAACCGTATAATATTAGTACCACAACAATAAGCAGAAAGATTTTTTTCGGCGATAATTATATTACAAAATTGGAACAAACTGATGAAACGTAGTTTACGTTCACAAGATCTCCGTGCACTGCATATTGACTTTTGAAATAGCTATATTGATACTTTTAGTTCAGACAATTTCGGACTTTTCAATATACCAATATTACAATAGACTCCATTCTCAAAAGAATATGTGCTAAAATTTAATATAGATCTGTCACTTCCAGACGCGACGGCCCGACCGTGGCTCGGGCTGGAGCACATCAATAAGACTCCCAAACGATCCCGTGTCAACTATCTAGAGAAGGCCATCAAAATATACAACTGAGTCATAAAATACGCTCCCTGGTTCGCTTGACAGAAACACTCCGAGGCAGAGGGGCGAGACAACTAAACACGCCACCCCACGCGATAGTACCATGGCACTGATCGTATACAACTTTGGGACTAGCGCACATTGCAGTGTTAATACTCGTTAAAAATTGTATACACTCTACGTACGCGTACTGTGAAATATATAGTTTTAAGCAAATATTTGCTCATTTGTTACTGTACCTTAACTCTGCAGTGCGTACTATTTCTGATCGACTGGTATGAGGCGTCCTGAAAAGTCACCACTAAATTGCTTCGAACTAAATACAAGCTTCACGCGTCACAACCGTTATCAAAGAAATATACTTCCTAGCGTAGATTATTTTTTAGTATATAATTATCTAAGTGTGCTATGCCTAACTGCTGTGTTACTATCGCATGGACTCTCAACCAATAAAAGCCTTATTTACGTTAATGTACATCTCTAACACCAATGTTTGACTTATTTAACTTCTGGTATTTACTGGTCTAGGGAACTGATTTTAAAATGACGTGTACGTAGGCCATGAGTCCACGGAGTAGTCCTGCTAGAAGAAAATGCTTTTATATTGACTTGTATCAGTAGTTTTGTATGCAGCTCGTTTTGAGTATCTACAATAGAAATATTAACAGAGCGGACGGTGTTTCGCGTTTGTGCAATGACGAAATCGAGCGTTATATAACATATTTTCATGTATAGAATATATATTTTCTTTAGTGGCTTTAGAAAGTTTTTTGTTTATGTTAAAATGTCCATGCATGTCAGATACTTTTTGTTATTTGTATATCTGTCGTTATTACAATATAATCGTTGTGATCACTAGTGCCTGCACCAATTCTAGAACTCTTCACAGTACTCAGACAACACGGACAAAGTAAATACAGGTTTCTAGGACTGAAGGTCCATCAGCGACGTAAGTCAAGCTCGTTGTGTACGCAGTGAATCGCGTGGTCTCTCGCCGGACACTAGTAATATGTTTCTCAGGTGTTTTTGTTTTATAATAAAATGTATTCTTATCTTGTCGGTTGATTGGGACACGGGATGTGCACTAGGTTACGTGTAAGGCGGTGTCAATCACCAGGAGTCTGCTCAACCGAGTGAAGTCGTTTAGGGTGATTCGGCAATGTTAAAGCATTTTCACAGTGGATACATAATAGCTTTATTTATTCATGAATTTGAATAGACCTTAATTAAATGTGCCTGTCGATGTTTGTTTCATTAACTGTGTGAACAAGAAATTAGCGTACTATAGAATTATTGTATTTAAAAACAATATCTGCTTGCTGCAGATGCCTGTGCTGTATTGTATTAATAAAGTTGTTAAAATGTGGAATGAAGCACATGATTATAATACGATTGTAAAAATACAAAACTTAATGTTTCCAATCGTATAAACTATCTATATATTATTACGCAAAGAGAACTCTATGTACCCCTTTTTAAGTCAAATTTGATAATTATACTAAAGTTTATATTTAGCAGAAGTGTAGAGACTAAAACAATGTGTTATAAATACAAAAAATGTCAAACAGTTCAATAAAGATCGATTTATCCTGGTAATGAATAACTTTATTTATGTTACAAAATAGGTCGTGGAAGTAAAAAAAAACATTCAAAATTTTATGACTTCTTAATCGAAGTTATATCACTTGGCGATCGAATACAGAATTTCGGTCACTAGATTATCTCCAGTATGTCATTAATATTGTATTATGCTGGCTAACGAGGTATGTACATTATACATAAACGTAATTGATTTCGTAACGTAACACTTAACATAAACGCTCAAAATCCTTTACGATTTTCATGGAAATAAAAATTTATCCAAGATTATCAAATGCATTAACTATTTTATTACATTTTTTTTTGTATTTACATTGACGGTATTGTGATAATAAATATTAGTAATGCTTGTACATAGCTACCGCACATACCTTATTGACAACAACCGTGTGTAGGTTTGTGCGTGCTTCTCTGTAAAGAATATTATTAAAAACTACACCAACTAAAACTTTCATGTGTAATCTGTTTTCTAAAGAAATCGCCGGAGCATATTCTATACTAAAAAATGTTTTATTGATTGTCGAATTACCAACACCTGAGTGTATGTTTGAGGCGAAGGGAGTCGTGCAACATGGTAAGATGGCAGTTAGCAGCCTCAAGTATACACTAGGTTTAATTGCACATAATAGATATAACGTTAGCACTGTATTGTTAATTCTGGCTGAAAGGGTCCGAGCTATTTATAGCGAGTGGTCCATATGTTACTAATGTCATTGGTTGAATCAGAATCTTTTAAGAAAAATAATCCATTGTAAAGTTATATTTTTGGGAGAAGAACTCTTCATGTTTCAGAAAGTATTATTTTCGTGGAAGTACGTAGGACCCTGACCCTAGCAAAGTTGATAATTTTTGGAATTAATACATGGGAATGTCGTCTGTATGGCATGTTTGCGAACAGTGAGAGGTCTTTTCTCATTGATATAACTTGGTGTAACATTACTATTTAATTTTTTACTTGACCTGCCAGAGATATGTTACGTTTTAAATAAATGATTATGTCGAAATTATGTATATATATGATGTAATAAATTAAGAAAAAAATACAATAAGTTTTCGTAAAGATGCCTTAGACGTTTTAAGACATTTTTAGTGGTTTGAAATGGTAATGCTTAATTTAATTTATACCCTTTTTGGTTATTGTTTCCAATCTGCCCAAGATTTGATATGAAGGATTCAGATTGATTGTGTACAGCAGACGATTGTCTTTGCGTGTACCTAATTTTACTTCTAGTGTTACAATTCAACTCAAATTATTCATATGTTAACAAAGTGTGTTGGTTGCTCTATTTTCATTAACATGGTTTGAGGTATATTGGAAAGAACTTAGAAACATAGTGGCTTAGTAGCTAATACGTGCCGATAATAATAAGGCAAATGGGATTATAAAAACATAGCTGGTTAATCTGTTGACCTAAAGTATAGGTTTGAATCCTTCGTGCAGGCGAGTCTGTAAACAGCTTTTGCAAACATTGATATTACTCCAATGTTTGTTATGTTGGTTTTGAATGTTTCACTGAATATAATCCTATATTTGTTTTATTTGGTTTGTTTTAAACTAAGTCCCCGTCCTAGTGGACGTTTGTTACCGTCTCAAAATTAGGCGTAAATGTCAAAAATTATAACTATATGATTACCACCAAACCTTGTCCTCATAAAGTGTGGGCATTACTTCATTTCACAAGTTACAATAGCTGACTAACAACACCCGAATAACTAGTTATTCAATCAAGTTCAAAATAGTATTTTTTGTAACCATGTTAATTTCTCTACAAAGCAAGCTACAAGGGATCTCGCGTGGTTCACGGGGTTTTCAAGTGTACGTTTCGATTACTCCGCCACGCTATCGAAACAGTAAAAAAGCTTCGTCAAAAATTGGTCGAAATTTGTCGAAAAAAATCGAAGGGAACAAACTAAAAATTTGTCAAAGAAGAAATAAAGAAGTTATAGGGGTTTTAAGTTGACCGGACGAACGAAACGTGGATGCGCGGCCACGGAGATCTTAGCAACTACTTCAGTTAGAGATCTAATTCTCTTTGTCAATTGAAGACTTAATTTGTCAAAATAAATTATAGTTTAAAAAACAAAAAAATACGCTTTTGTAACTAGGTGAACGAAAAAGTGGAAAATAATTTTCGTCGTTAATCGTAAAATGCGTGGGGCGCTGGATTATAATTGTTGTAAAAATAATTTATTAACAGTAATTGGTTTCATGCGCGGTGTGGTAGGTGGCGCCGTCGTGCTGAAAATACATGTAGTCTAGATCAATGACGTCCAGTTGAGGCCACAAGAAATACGTTATCATATTCCTGTAACGAATGCCGTTCACAGTCACTGCAATTTCAGCCTCATCTTCAAAAGAGTATGCCCATTTACGCCGTTTGACCAAAATGCGCACCAGACAGTTGGTCGTTATGGGGGTGCATTTATTTCTCATGGATTGCATGAGGATTTTCTGAGCCCCAAATTTGACCATTTTGTGTATTCACGCAGCCATTCAGATGAAAATATTCATTAGAGATGATGACTTTTTTTTTAGAAGAATTGGCATCGACCACTATGCTCCATTACCCATTGAACGAATTGCCGGCGCTTTCCATGGTCTGCTGGTTTGAGCTGCTGAGTTAGCTGAATCTTGTACGCATGAAGGTGCAGGTCTTTTGTCATAATTCGCTTGCGTAGTGCTTTGTGAAATCTGAAGTTGAGAACGATGCCGAATTGATTTTTCGGGTTTTCGGCAGCAGCAAAGTTTTCAAGAGACCCGTGGGGATATTTTATTCGCCGGATATTTTATTCCATACTCAATCGGAACAAATCTTTACAATCCAATAAAAATATCACAACTCATAAAATACGTGTTTTCATTTTAAAATGAAAAAGTTCACTCTTACGGAGACAGCCTTTACATACCCAGCTAATAAAATGTGTTAAAAAGAATCATAAGCTATAGATCCATATATTGCGAAATACCACCTTGAAAGTTATGGCCGCGCAATCGTACACTTGTTGTTTCTTGATTGTTGATTATTTCTTTAAAATATAAGACTTATACAGTAAAACTGTTACAAGAAGAAAGGTCTTAAGTAAAAACGAATGAAAGCAATAAATACTACCAAAGTTTAGTTAAACAGACTAAATCAGTCAAAAACAGTACGTGGCCGCGCTGTCGAAACGTTACTTTGTAGCCATATCTCATTATCTATACGAGTAAGTGCTAGGGATTTTGGCGTGAACAAAAATATATTTCACATTAACCTCATTAGAATGACATATCGTTTCATGCTCAGAACAGCATTTCAACGCGTGCAATCTCAGAAATAATGTTATCTAATACAATGATCGAGTAAGGCAACCATAATTTCGATTGTATTTGGGAATACCTTTTACTCTTTTAGACGAAAATCTACCTATTAAGAAGAATTAAGTAGTAGAATTGGCTATTGGCTAAGAGAGATGAGCAAAATCCGGTGAAGGTGTTAGGTATGTTTATAGATGCGAAGCCGGCTAATAACGATTTTAACCAAGCGGTTAAAAATGCATTTTTCGTTATTAACGGCTGATTAACCGCATTTTATGCTTCTTAGTGAATTTCATACAAAAAAATAGAAGCTTTTAAAAGGAACTATTAAAAACATTGATTGCGATTAAAATACTCCTGAGATAACAGACTTGAAATAAATATATGGCAATATTGTTAGTAATGAATTATTAAGGTAGAACAATACACAGTGATTATAATTACAACAAAACTGTTTTTTCAATTATTATGAACTACGTCTATAGCAATATATCATACGTGTTTGTTTGTGTGAGTGTGTGTGTAAAAAAAAGTCTGATCGCCTTCGGTTATGTCGCATTGTCTATCACTAATATCGTTATCTTTATCTGATGAGTCAGAAACTGTGACGTTGACTGGCCTTTCTGTTGCAAACAAGCCCACATTGGACAGAAAGGACATCAATTTCACCGTTCTTGAATTATGAAGCCTGTTTCTGACTTTGGTATGCGTTCTAGAAAAAAGGCTCCAATTGCGTTCCGAAGCTGCTGCTTCGGAAGGCAACTAAGTAGGTACACCTTCAATGCCTGACGTTATAGGCACCTTTCGTAAATATTCTGCAACCATACTTATCTTTTCATCACTTACACAAACTCCGCAATATCGTGGATCCAGTTGGTGTGCCGTGTAGTAAATAGGCTTCACGCAAAATTCTTTTCTTTTTTTGATAGTTGACAATATCACATTTTGGTCTTGTTCATTTATAAATGTTGCTGTTTCCAATTCAATGGTTAAAATAAATTATTTTAAAAACAAATAGTCTTAAATCCTAAAATCATATTCACCTAAAATCATAAAAATGCTAAACTGTTTATTATTCAAACATAAGTGAGCGGTTCACTTTGGTTAAATAACTGTAGCTAACGGGTTTTTTGCAACTATAGGTATGGTAGTGGAAGGGTACAAGAGAAGAGGAAGACCAAAGAAAAGGTGGATGGATTGTGTGAGTAAGGATAAGGCTAGGAAGGCAGACACAGTAAGATAACTGATGATAGAGTAGAATGAACGAGTCATACTTACTGCGCCGACCTCAAATAAAATTGGGTTAAGGGTAGGCAGATCATAATGAATTAGTTAAGACAAAACAAAATGAATGCGCTTTTCTCTTCTGTTTGTCAAACGATTTTTTTTTGTTTTATTATGGATTGAAGATCTTTAATTTTATCGCTTTTAAAACCATCGGGCAAAAATGGAGAGAAATGTCCAGCTCCAAGAGTAATAGCAAATTTGCCCAACAATTCTATAGTAATCTTGCACCTTTTTTTTTCTGTGCGGAAATCCGCTCGGATACCACTTACCGGTAGCAATGTCGGACTCGAACCGACTAAAACCGCACGCCGTCTCATGTACCAGAAGTCGGGAACCAGGTGTACCCTAGAAAGGAAATCCCTGGTGCCCCGACGTGCCTTGCGCCATCTACGGCGGGTAGACGACCCCCCTGTGTGGGAACCCCCATGTTCCCTCTGTGGGGGTGGGGGCGCGCGCGCTTCGCAACGCTCTCGCCGCCACCCCGGCCTGCTTCTGCTAGGGTGACGGATGGCCTCACCTGTCACCCCCAGGCCTGCGCTTATGGAGGACGGAGGTCGTTCTGCAACCTCCGGCGCCTGAGTCGTCTACGGTACTTGTCGCGTTCCCGAGCCTGGCGGGCCTTAGAGTTCTAAACCTTTCCCGGTCCCGCTCCGCCATCTCCTTCGCAAGTATAACTTGCTCGCAGAAGGAGACGGCAGAGTTCAACGCACTTTCGCTCCGCACGATAGCCGCAATCAGGTTATCGAGCGAGAGACGTAATCTTGCACCTAGACTTTATAAGTTTAACTTAATTTTAACTCATCTCTTTCGGACCGCTCCTATGCAGTTCGGGTCACAAAGTCGAGTTTTCAGTTTCATTCGTTTTACGTTGGCAGCGGCCGGGCACAGTATTGTACGATTGTGCGGGAAGCGATCTACCACCTCCCGCACTAATTTTGTCCGACGTGCAGTCGGCGAACAGGTTTAAACCCGTACAGTTTTTGCGCTCCCCGACTTGGCGAAAGTAAGTACCTACCTATTGTTTTATTTTGTAAGTGTAGTAATATACGTGTTATTGATTACAAAAATAGTTAAACAGGATGTTTTATGATAATAGTGACTATTAGCAAGCAAACGCTTTGGCGTAGCAGCTTAACGAACTTTATTGACACAATTGTATCGACGTGGGCCCTACGTTACCACCTCGGGCATATTTTAAATTTTTAATGACAATTCATTTCTTTACAGTTTCCGCACCATGTTTCCGGATTTAAGCGATGCTGCTATAGCAGAGATGCTCAATGACTCTGGGGACGAGGGCGACGATTCCGACGAAATCGATTTGGATTGCTGTAATAAAGAAAACGCTGAATATTCAAGTTCGTTTTTTCTAATGAAGGCGAAGATAATGATGACGAAAACAAACCCCTGAGTATGCTAAGAACATGGCAGAAGAAGCCCTTTAATAGCAAACCCCTAGCAGAAGATGCCGAAAAATACATGTATGACCCGATTGCAAATGCAATGTCTAGGGAACGGTTTTTTCTTCTTAGAACAAGCTTGCATTGTTTAGACGTTACAGCAGTGAATCAGACTGAAGAACAAGCCAAAAATAGATTATGGAGGGTACAGCCCGTTATCGATGTCGTCCGAAACAGATACGAGTACCTGCAGTTGCCTAGAGATGCTGGTGACTATTCAATCGACGAACAAATAATACCTTTTAAAGGTCTGTGCGATTTGAAGGTAGTCATAAAAAACAAACTTCGTCCAGCAGGATTGAAGAATTTCGTGGTAACCACCTACAACGGACTAGTTCTAGTCTTTGAAATTTATCAAGGCCCTACAACAAACTTACCTGATTCAGAGAATTTTGGAATTGGTGCTGCTGTTACGCATGGCCAATACATTCCCAGAGGGAAGTTTTCTTTATTTCGATCGGTATTTTTCCTCACTGCCTTTGATGAAAGAGTTAGTTAAAAGAAAAATAGAGGGAACAGGAACTTTGATGGCTAATCGGTTTATTACCGAGAAGAAAACGCTGTATGAATTCAAGAAAGATCATAGGATGACTGTACTCATGAGTACTCCTTTATTGTAGTCCATAGGTTGTTTAACGTATGAAACATTTAAAGATAATTTTTATTTCGCATCAATAGCAAAACCTATCCTTAGCGTGATAAGGCTCACGGTTCTATGTATTTAGCTCTCAACAAGTTATTAGGTGTAATTTTTGTTATGCCAAGCAATTTAATTCTTATAATTTGAGCAATTAAGACGTATTGACAACGACATCTGATATTTAACTTTACTAACATCTTTGCAGTACGTGTAGGTGTGATAGGCAACATGTAATTCATAAGGGCACACTGATTGGCACTTGCGAGGATGTGGATTGGATGCGCCGATGCCCAAAACCCGACTTCTGCGAATATTAGTAAGGACGCACGAATCAACGTGTCGATACTTTTGGAAGACTCGAGATGTTTTGTCTACGGAAGAAATAGACAAAGCTAAGAGGATGTTAGTACGCCGATTTTTTTTCTTCTAATGACACTGATATCGGAAAGACTGGTTTAGTTCAACACAAAATTAACACCGGGAACGAGTTGCCTATTCGTCAGCGATCAAGAAGGACCGGTAGCACGAGAAAAGAGGTGGAAGTCGTGATTGATGGAATGGTGAACTCTATTTGATAGGCGGTTTCCTTTCGCCCTAAACTTATTAGTAGTTCTAAGGATATAAAATAAATTCAAACAAATGAAAGTAAAGAAGACATTATAATTCCATTCCATGTAGTCGGCTGGAAACTCATCGAAGTTATACAATAAAAAGACGACATTATTAGACCTTTTTGGACGAAACGATTTTGAAATTTTTGAGTTTTCAGCTTCTTCTTCTAGCGTCTTACGATTCACAAACAGCGGTGGTGACCGATGACACAAAGTGCCATTTGTAAAGTATTTCTTTTGACAGTTTGTATAGTATTTTGTGATGCGAATAAATATTTTGTCAAATTTGCTACTGAAAAAATACCCGGTCAAGTGCACCATACGCGTACCTACCCATTATACCGCCATAATAAAATTGGTATTATTTAAGACTGCTTTGTGACAAATTTCGTGATTGTAGGTTAACGGAAACTATCTTATAGGTTTTCGACCCAAAACTTATAGGGTTCGTCCGGCTGACCTAGAATTGTCATTTTTTTTAAAACCAAGGTCTTACAGCACAAGTAAAGGGAAAATTTCGAATTATAAAAAAGTTTTTTTTTTTTTTGGTACCTACAAGTTTTATCGAAAATCTAAATTTGCCCATATCTTTTTATTGTGTTGACTCAGGACCCTATTAGGTGTTTAAAATCAAGGACCTTGATTTTAAACACCTAATAGGGACTATAGACCTCAGTATCTGGTATAAATTTCAACTTGATCCGTTCCTGAGAAAATCGGTGGTGACACACGGACAGACAGACTGACAAGAGAGTGATCTTATAAGGGGTCCTTTTTTATCTTTTCAGGTACGGAATCCTGAAAAAGATGCAAACAAAAGAAAAGTGATTGCTTTTGTATTGACTTAGGTATTTCCGACGCAATAAGAATCCAATGAAAGTAAGAGTCCGGCGAGGCAGAATGCTTTCAATACAATGACATTTGCTCTCAAAATTACAGCTTATTTCTTGAATTGAAATTCACTGCTGATCCTATGACTAACAGTACCGGACGTTCAATGCTGACCCCGCCAAGCTGGCCATTAATCCTTTTTAAATAGGGGATTTGTATCAATCATCGTGCGTTATAATTATTTATTTATAACTTTATGCTCTTGTGTACATCGGCGGACTTAATGCCCTAGGCATTCTCTACCATGGCTGGTACCACCAGATTTCTACACCACGGTGGTGTAGAAATCTGGTGAGGTAGGTTATATACCTATATAGGTTATATTCAGGATATTGAGTCTGTAAGATTTTTTTTTGACTGGTGAAAACCGTGGTTCGTATAGAAAAATAACAGATGGCAAATAATAATGCCTGAGGCTTGATATGGACTTGAATTTTCGATAACCGAGTTACTTGACTCAATATGTCAAGCGGCTATGTATATTAGCTACTATTAACCCATTCTTGTTTATGCATATTTTTGGGATTCTGCTGTGTGTCTCTTTTTGCTGTACTGTTGTTACTTGACTTAATTGTGTGTGGCCCTTGTATATCGTATATATATATATATATCGACAAGAAAACGACTTGATTATTTTGAAAACCGTTAGGAGATTACCGTTAGATTCCTATAACTCAGAACCTAAATTACGAGCAAAACATTTGACGGCAGCTTTTATAGGTTATTTTATTCCCCTTCTTTCGACTCAATCTCATAAGATCCATTTGCCAGATCCATGATGGATCTAATAACGTTTTTTTTCTCTCATCCTGATTTCGAGATGTGGATCTACTGAGTTTTTTTATTCAAAAGACCCGTGATCTAATGACACATGTATCTCTGATTAGATACTCTTTTAAAGTTGTAGATCCACTGAAAACTTGCCTTCTCACTGGATTAGAGATAGGCAAACGACCGGGTTTAAACCTTTCAGTGGGTTTAAACCCATTTATTCCCTTCCACAGGGTTTTTATTCGGTTGTTTATTGATTTTACTGTTTTAAAGAATATATTAAAGAAGAGAGGAATATTAAATAACAATATATTAAATGAATGCATAAGCACCGATGAACAGGTCAGTGAGACGAGTCCTCAGAGAAGTACACGTACCGGTTAGAATTGACGTTAATCGTCATTAACGTCTTCTCAATGTCCAACAACACAAGAATTCGAATTAAATTTCGTCCTTCGTTACAATTTTGGGAATTACTGATTTACATATTGCACACTTATTTTGTACATAACAATAATTTTAATTTAACCCATTGTCAGAACAGGTTTTTGATTAAAATGGGAATAATGTCTTGGTATATAAATGCTTTCTAAAAAAAGAATCTATACGGTTCATAAACGATAGGGTTTTACAGTACACCTGTAAAGCCCTAGATACAAATCCCTGTAATTGCAACACCATCAGCAACATAGACTCGATAAAATACCTAGGAGTAGTAGTTGATGAGAATCTTTAATTCAAAAACCATATTTTTAGTTGTCTGGGAGAGTATGGAAGACCACAAAACGGCCAACTATCATACCTGTGTACGCCCCAGGAGGCTTTTGCGCTTCTTAAAGGAGCTTTCCTCCTCCTCCTTGCCTCGACGCTTAAAGGACAATTCTTGTGTCAAAATGCGGAAATCGTAGCCCACAACCAATATCAATACCAATTGACTTGTGTAGTTTAGTCTGAATTTTGTTGGAATAATAAAGTTTAATCTGTTCTGTTTTACTGTGAAATCGATACAATCAATTTAGATGAATAATAGGTACATTTTTTTGACCAATTTCCTGTACTTTGTTGAGGTACTTATTTTAAGTTATAATGACAAATATTTATCTAGACAGAATCGATAGCTTCACTGATAAAAATTTAAATAAGACTTACAAACCGATTGAAATATATATTTTTAATGTATTATTTACCAGGCATGAGAACTTCCATCGACGAAACAATGTCGTCATTTCATTTAAATCCTCTCCGCTCCGGCCTTCAAATCGTGGTGGAGCTTTTGAAATGATTGAATTTTTATGCGGACGCCTGCCGTTTGTAATTTGTACGATAGCTAGGTATATTTAACATTAAATTGCGTTGACAATAGATGGAAGTAGGTCACAGTTAGTGAGTTTTTGTCCTTGCCTAAGTTTTGTGATCTTACTTTCATACTTCATGTCACCTTTATTTCATTTTAAACCATTCTAGATGTACAAACCATTTTAGATCATGTTAAAATACTAGAGTGCCAATAATAATATAATTCGGGCTCGCGCTTTCGGGCTAGTTCGATATAAGAGTATGCGACATTGATTGGCACAGCTAGATTAGAGAGTGCAAGCAAGATGCACTCTCTAATCTAGCTGTGTAAGAAATGTCCCTTTCCTGTCCTTGCCGGGAACCTACCTTTCTCTTTCTAACAATAAATGTATCCTAAGTCTTATATTTAGTCTTATTTATCAAAATCCATAAACTTTCAGTATGCCCTAAATATTAGATCTTTATCTATGAAGTTGGAGATATGTGTTGTATATAAGATATATAAAATATTGTAATTAGTTAGGTATAGGGTTTGTGTCAAGTATTCCCTCTCCTTGCAGTGCTGTTGTTCTGCTTATTTTTCTCCCTTAGCCGCCTTTTACGACACCCACGGGATGAATAGGGGTGATCTCACTCTGAATTCTAAATCCGTCACGCACACTAATACTTATTGAAAACTCTACTCATTTCTTTTTGTTCTTTTGCGGTGCTCTATCTAGACATATAAATAACATATAAATAATCTTGTGAGACATTGCCTTATAGAAAATCGATGCCGTGTATATTAAATTCATTAATTAATAACTCGAGAGGTTAATATTCATGTATTTCAAACGAAATCCTCTTACCTAACAATGTCTGAAATGTGTTTCCCACTTCATCAAGTCCAAATGAAGATTAAATAATTCTGCATAATCCGACAAGGCAATTGGCTTTGCAGCCATAACCATAATGACAATTAATTATTAATCGTCGCCGGCGGAATCCACTCGTAATCCCACCTTCCGTAGACCGGCGGCCGACTAGACGGGATGAAAAACTATAGTAATTAATCCTGCAGTTTGAAATGGTACATTTAAAAAGCTTTCAAGAACTATTTGTTTTCTTTGCATTTTATTTTTCACTAGCTGTCGTCCACGATTTCGTCCGCGTGGAATTCATAAAGCGCTGCCTTAGTGAGTTCGATTCCCGGACCGGGCAAAATTTTATAGGGTTTTTCTGAGAGAAAAAATAGCCTAAGTTACTCCTTGTATACAACATTGCAACTTGCAATCTAATGTTCTTTTTATGACTGCAAAACAATGCTTGTTAGTATGTGCGTTACACTTTGTTTGTTACGACGATGAACTTTTGCTTATCTACGCGTTTTCCAGAGTATATAAAAGGACATGGGACACTATTTATTAATACTGTTTCTATTGGATAGTGAATTAATTGACAAAACCTATATTGATGTGACCTGGATATATTTCGTAACTGAATTTATATTGCACTAATTAAAAATGTTGGAGACACAGTCCTATTATCTGATTAAATAATTTTTGTTGTGGCCTGATGGTGATTCAACTGCTAATTGATAATGCGTCGAAGAGTTTTCTTCACAGAATTATTTTGTGACTATGCGACCAATTTGAGAAAGATTTACACGTTTAAGCTGACGTTGCTTAACTATCAACTAATAAAAATGGGTTCAAACTTGAAGACTTTTGCTCAAGCAAAAGTCTTCAATTTTAAGATTAATTAAAGGACTATAAAAGTACCTAATTAAAATACTACCTTTCTTAGAAACTTGACCATTATTATACTGCTAATAATATTGATTTGGGATCAATTAATTATAGCGATTGTTGCCATCCAATATTCAATTGGAAACTCTTTTTATCCATGCGATGAATTGGCCAGTGCACAACAACGTAAATGTTATGCGTGGATGGTTTGGATCTTATTGCAACAGTTTATCAATGTCGCACAGGACACGCGGTGGGAATGCGTCCGACTGCGGCGCTGTATAGAATAGTGCGTCGTTAGAGTTAATCCGATTCGGGCATCGGAGCATTCGAGTATCCAACGTTCGGGCTGTCGGTATTCATCGAGCCGAGTTCTATCCCGCGAAGCTCAGCAATCTGAGCTTAGGAATTTGAATGCAAATTGAAAATGCCATTAGATCAGCAAACATTCTGCTTGCTGAAACGTTGCATTGTGTGGTGATAAGAAATAGGTAATTATCGTATTCTGTCGTCGTGTGGCTACAAAATGCAAATGTCGAATCATATTCTATTGTTGTTTTGGTTAGCGTTTTATTATCAAGTGCAATTACTTCGTCTCTATGTCATCCTACATTTATATCGTTAAAACTGTTATTGAAGTAAGTCTATATCTATAAAAGAAAAAACAGAAAGACTGATCGATCAACGTACAGCTAAAACCGCTAGATAGAGGTATGACCGCTAGGTGACGTAGGTCTGCACTAAAAAGGGTTTTTAATAATGCCACCCCTAAGGGTGCAAAATGGGGGTTGGCAATTTATTTGAAACTTCTTTATTTTTGGTAGTAGCGTTTTCAGTCACATTAAATATTCTATAGTAAAAGAAATAAAAACTCTTACTACTTATAATTTTTTTCCCTATCAAAAAAACAAAATTAGACACCTATATTTTAACTTTTTAAAACTACCCTAATTAAACCCTATTAAAGGGTAGGGGAATGTGTATATACATATTATAGTTGAGAAAATCCGAGAATTCAAATATTTGTAATGTGCCAAGCCGTTTCGGGTAGCGTAGTGACACTTTTGAATCAAATTAGCAGTTTTGCCCGGTTTTACCTACCTATTAATTGATTTTCGTAAGTATTTGCCAGCAAGTTTTTAAAGAAAGATAAACTTTATGTATTCTATAGTTATGTTGATGACTCCCGCCTCTCATGGACGCTTGCAATTCAAGAATTACAAATGCGTTGACGGCCTCTGAGCGCCAAAGCTGAAGTGGTCACGAGAATACTGGCCGTTGGTATACCTTTCTGCAACTTAGTCCAACTGTCAGCAAAATCACTTGAACGTCTATTAAATATGTGATCCCATTAGTTCCTTTCAGCATAATAATACTATAATGGAATGCGAAAGTTTAAGAGATCATGGATTCTGTTTAAGAGTCCTGATGCACAGGATAAACAAACACTTTTCCGGTACCGACTCACTGGATAAGCAACATTAATAAAAGTCTCACATTTTTAATATTATTGGTAAGTATATTTTTATTCACAAAATGAACATAAAAATCATTCAGATATTGCGTATGTTCCAAACGTATCTGCGATAACCCGTTTATGGTAATATCCATTTCGTGCTTATCGGCTTTCACACAAGCGTCTATATCAAAGTTATTGTAACGTGTCGAATCTTACATATTTCAAATGAAATGTTGTTGAACATGCTAACAATAATTAGTGTTTTTTTGTGTTGCATGAGCGCATTCGATAACGGTCCGTTCGTAAGCGCCAAAGGCTCGGCCAGCCCGTCTCAAAGTTCTCACAAAAACGTTACTAAGAAAGAGTCAAGTAGTCCACTAGATTTGTTCTTTGCCAAGGAACCGCAACGAAGAAGTTAGTAGCTCCTTTGTTAGTAGATCACAAGTTTTGTTATTAGTTTAGTATAGATAAAATAGTGTTTGAAAACAACTGTTATCACTGAGGTGTTAAAACATTCAAAGCATTGATCCTATGATGCCATGATCTGACGTTTGAAGAGCGTCTCTATATAGAACATAATAATATAAGTATACCGATAAGCTTACATTCTTAATTAATAATGTGGTACGTGGGTTTCCAGTAAAAACGCCGTCGTTCCTCTTGTTCATTTGTTACGTTTTTGTGTCTTAACCGTCGAACCGACAATCATGAAATTTTATTGTGAAATTTGGCTTTTTACAAACCACAATACCTATTTAAACTTTACCTTCTCTCTATATGAGAGGAAAAGTGAAAAATTTCTCAGAGTTGAACGCCACCACATGACCAAACTTGTTGAACAGTAACATTTTAAATTAGGTATTTGGTTTCGGGCCAGAGCTGGATTTTAAAGGATTAAGCTAAGGTTCATGAAAGCTCTATTCCTTGGAGTAGAATTTCCCTCAGCCTATAACCAATTAGGTATGTGATTGTCCAGAGATATCCCATGTACCTATTGAGCATCGATTGCAATTATATTCAATCGAAAGAGAGGTGCATGAATGCTACAGATACATTTCGTTTTTACCCGTATCAAACAATTGATGTCTGAAATTTTAACAATATCAAGCCATCGTTAGTCCGTCATCGGTTTCGCGTCAAGATATAAAGGTTTAAAACCATATAGCACGTATTTGTAAAAATGTGTTTTTTGAATTGAACGTATAGACACTGTTCTGAACTAACAAAGGTATAAGCTGCCGTTAAAATATGACCAAATTATTAAGTGGGTTCTTTAATAAAGTTGAATAAAAACTCATACTAAATTCATCCTTAATTCCGCAGGTGATATTGAGAAGATTTGGCAGTGGGACACTTGGTGCCAGCTACAGCCTAAAATTGGCAACTGCTCCGAAGTGCTTGCTACGTATATATTTGTATCATTTATTTTCGAAAATGAGAGATATTTATTTTCCAACGCTTTCTCAATCTCACGATTAAAATTAGATTGTAAATCAGGGCCTAAATTCTGCTATTTTATGTTCACGCCAAGCCACTGTCATAAATCAATGTCCTCAAAAAACATAATATATTTTCAAATTATAAGGAAATGATTTTTTTCTTTTTAATCTTTTTGACATCACCACTGATGAGCCACTGCCATTCCATCACCACTGTAAAAACACTAAATTAGTGTAGACTACCGATATCTATACCGATGCTAATGGACACTCGATGGCATCTCAATAGCGTGTCAGTGGTATGACACTGGCTTGGCGTGAACATAAAATAGCAGAATTGAGGCCCAGGTCTTTTCCATGATCTAACTTGAAATATTTCAATTTTTATAAAATCTAAAAAATGTTACACTTCAATTTCCGTGAAAACAAACATCTCTTTATAACAGAATGAAACAGTACATACTACTGAGTCGCACCCACTGCTGTGCTCATCACGTATCAACCTACCTACCGCCTTTATTTGAATATATAGCAAAAGTCTACCGCCTGACTTTTGCTACATATTCAAATATATATTGTTATATATAGGTTAAATTCTTTTCAAGAACACTATCTGCTGGTTGTTAGAGATAATTAATAGCTAATTTTACACTTGAAGTGCTTGCGGAGACCATACCTCTAAAAAATTATCATTATGTTAAGAAGTCTGTAGACTATATATAGATTTATGCTTATCTAAAAAACTAGCTTGGGTGGCGGGCACAAAATAATAAAAATATGATTTATGCAAATACTCTGTCATATTTTTCTTAAAGTCATAAAATTTGTAGCCTATTGTAATTTTCCATCGTCATAATGAATGCGTACACAAAGTCAGGGCCACTCTTTTAAATCACGAAATACTTAACACTTTCACATTCATACACGTCAGTCTGTGACCCGGCCAATTCAACCTCAGGGCCTACTCGGACTTACTGTGAATTTATTTCACATCAACTTGCTCTCGACGGCGAGCGCATTCGGCGTTGTGATTGGTTAAGATTTCAATGGGGCCCAATCGCAACTTCGGCGTCGCGATTGGGTAGTCACCGTGACGTTCGAGTAAATTTGAAATAAAACACACTAGGCCCTCTGGTGGAATCGTCCGGCGTTCATTTTAATTTGGTATCAACTGGAACCAATTCTTATTTACTCTATTTTTGTGTTTTTATTTTGTAGCTACTACTACGACGCTCAACTGGATCAATGTAGAACGTTTGGATACAGCGGGTGTAGCGGGAATCATAATAATTTTCGAACGTTAGTGGAATGCGAACGACATTGCAAAGGCAAGTGCTACTATATAGATCGACTAGATCCTACTTAACACGTTTAGGTGCGTTTTGGCAAACACTCTGTTTTAGGCAATGTTTCTTTATTTATATATATTTTTTTTACTTCTCAACAGCAATTTCGTCACAGGCTAATGTGACAGTATGGTCCTTAATTACTATAACATATAAGTAACATGGTTACTTTTGTGAACTCATTCAGAGAACAAAAAAAAATGTAAATATTTTGTGCCACCTAGTTTAGCGTAACTAGAGTTCTCATTATGGGAGCCTTGCTCAAAAAAATGTCCTAGCAGATGGCAACGCCAGTAGACGCGGCCACCGTCTTCGCAACATATACTTGTCGGGAACATACAGGTTTACCTCTTTTAAAACACCTGGATTTGAAGCCTAGATTAATTAAAAATAATTAATTGCGTGGCAAGCAATTTATACGCAGCAAGCGCCAATTCTTTTCTAGTTTCCAGTTTATTGTATCCAACCATGCCTTTCACAAAGAGGGTCGGATACATCAACGGATAAAGTGGATATACACTATACAGTCTAAGATACAGAAAGCTAATAAATTTATTTTAAATACGCTCCAGCATGAGACTGTAATTAGCATCATGTGGAGCCCAAATTATTGCATTAGACACTAGCTGACTTCTAACCAGAGCATCGTACGGTAACCTAATCGCAGTAACGAATGTAAAAGTTTCTGTTCTCCTGAGTATAAACCCTAAAGTTAAATACGCCTTTTTACAAAAATTAACGATATGATCTCGAAATGTCAGCCCAGTATTAACTCGTACTCCTAAGTGCACTGTTTCCGTTCTTTTCAGTGACACGTTGTCAATAATATATTAAATAATAATAATCTATACTAATATTATAAAGCTGAAGAGTTTGTTTGTTTGTTTGTTTGTTTGTTTGTTTGAACGCGCTAATCTCAGGAACTACTGGTCCGATTTGAAAAATTATTTCAGTGTTAGATAGCCCATTTATCGAGGAAGGCTATAGGCTATATATCATCACGCTAAGAGCAATAGGAGCGGAGCACCAATGAAGAATGTTTCAAAAACGGAGAAAATTTATTACTATTGAGAGACGCAGACGAAGTTGCGCGGGTCAGCTAGTTTATAATAATAATTTATTTATTTGACCAATATAAATATTACAGTGTAGGACATTTCAGTTTAACATAGATCTTAGACAATAATTAGACTAAGTTACACTAGCGTAAATCTATAGTAGTGTTATTTTATGATTAGATTTCATAAAGATCTTACGATTTTGTTTAAAAACTTTAGTCGCTGCCTGCCTGAACTAGGGTAAACCTGTGTTTCAGGCGATCGCTTGACATGGAATTTTTAAGGTAGAAATTTAAGATAAACATAACAGATCACTAGCAAATATAAAAAATACTACAAAGTGTACACGTACGAAAGCAAATAATAGAAAATAATATAAAATAATATAAATATTAATACCTTGGCCTGACTGAAGATCTCAGGCAGATAGTTTTTCATAATAGTAAATTTTAGAGGGCCTAAATTACTGCCTTGACTCACGAGCGGTTCGTCGGCGGCGAATTGGGTCCGAGTGGAGATTAAGCTCTCGGGCCCTCTCCGCCGCCTCCTTCTGAGAGATAACGTCTTCGCAGAAGGATGCGACCGCAGTAAAACAACTATCACTCCCGCCATGGAGCGTGTGACGGCCGGTAGTGAGAGATCTCTCCCGATGACTGCAGTGATGACCCGACGCTGCGACGGCCAATCCGGGCAAATTGCCAGCGTGTGCTGAGCCGAGTCCTCACTGAAATCGCAGTGGTGTCAGGCAGGACTCAGTTCCCTCCTAGCGACCGAGTGCAGGTACTTACCGAAGCAGCCGTGCCCGATTGCCGCTAAACGCCCGGAACTCAGTCGTCCGCCGATGTACTTCGGCGAGCACTTCCGCTTCCAAATCCCACGGGGGAGTTCCGTCCAACGCTAACACTGCCTCCGTCGACACGGTGCGGTAACCACGTATTGCTCTAACCGCCAATCTCAAAGCCATCTCCCGCCAGGGGCAGGACCCCGACGGGGCCTATAACATAATGCGTTTCGGACTTATCCATGGCCACCCGTAAGCCCAGCGCCTCAATGCGCTCGACCACCAGAAAGACTCCCCTGGTGGTGAGGCGTGCCGCCTTTTGGAAGTTCATCCCCCGAACTGTGATGTATGTATCATCGGCATAACAAATTACACCCAGCCCGGGGGGAAAATCAGCTCGAAGGGCCCACTCATACCCTGTGTTCCATAGGAGGAGTCCAAGAACAGACCCCTGTGGAACACTGCGCTCCTCTTAATAATCTGCCACCAGAAGCCTTAGGTACTCTGGCACCCGATGATAGTGGCTGATCGACTTGCACTCCTGCATCAACCTTGGGAACAACATAAGTAATGAAATTCAATAGTTTGGTTGTCGTACTGTAACCTGATCTAAAACCATGTTGTGCGTCCGACAACATCGGCGATACCTGTTTTAGAACACAATGATGAATAACCGACTCAAAAACCTTAGCCGGCGCGGCGGCGCTGATAGAATTGAAACCGGCCTAAATCCGCTCACATCGGACCTGGCCTTGCATTTAGGTACTGGTATAAACCGTGTAGTTTTCCAACGTTCCGGAAAGTGCTATGCCTCATAACACAGTTTGTACATATATAGTAAAAGTTCCTTAAGAAAAGCCCTACAATCTTATAAAATAAATGCAGGGATCCCGTCCGGTCCTGTGGAACGTTTGGGCTTAAGACGTGTTGACGCTTCTTTCACCTCTATCTTATTCACTGAACCTATATGCACTCGGTAACTCGCTGTTATAGCCGCCTGTACGTCCAGTTTTGCGCTCAGAGGGCTATGAGCACATTCAGAGTCTGACAAAACTTTATTATAACGTGTTTTGAATGTACGCTTTACTGTTCCCTTTTTCGCCCTTACATAATCTCAGAAGGACTTCGGACCATCAGTTATATTTTGTTGTATATTGTCCTGGTGTCTTTTGTGTGCACATTCTATCATATATATAACCCTAGCCCTACACTGAGCAAACATTTCGTAATCACTTCTTAGCCCGGTGATTTTGTACTGTTTGTGAAGTCTAGCTTTTAATTTAATGTCGCGAATAATATCTGTCGTGTACCACTTAGGATAAACACATGTGTTCTAACGAAGGCATGTTCTTCTCGTAAAGTTGATGTGGTGGATGTTTACACGCTTGGCGAGGTTTAGCAAACGTCCACAAGCTCCAAGCCTTTACAAACGCTTGGATGCCGTTTACACGCCGGACAAACAAACATGGCAGACGAGAACGTTGAAGTTGTGTCGGCTACGAGTATTACATTTGGCTGAACATATTTTTCATCCAAATATAAATAGCGACACAAAACACGCGCCAACATGTAAAAACGTCGCTTGCCGCAAGCTTCTTTCGATCTGTGTTCAAAAACCGATACTAGCCCGGATCAGCGACAAGCTCACGCAAGCCAAGTCAAATACCCCGTTTACACTTGTGTTTGTGGACACTTGTCGAGACTTGAAAAGCGTATAAACGTAGCATTACTACCATTACACTATCCCTATAACGTAAGTTAACTCTAATCTACTTACCGATTACGTAAACGTTATACCGTAGGTATGTATATAGTATTTCCAAATTTAGACAAGATTGTAAAGAACGAATAATCATAAAAAAGTTAGCGACTAATACGGTCAGCCAGGATTTCCTAGATAGGTAGTCAACTCTCAATTAATGTTTCTGAAATTAAATTTCAAGTCAGTCATTTCAATAGATCAAATTTTGAAGGCTGTCTGATTACAGGTACGACTTATGTGGCGTTAAAAGAGACCTCTAGAACATCGTTCTGCGGATTACAACCAAGTGCTGGATTATGTCTCGCTTTGAGTGAAAGGTAGGAAAATGCGTGTTCAGATAAACAAAAAATAGCACATCAATATAACCTCGACTTCACCCCTACCACAGACCAGTTTTTTTGGAATCAATTAGTTTTAGAATCAATAATATTTGTCTTTTTAGATTCCTATAAATAAAGTTATTGCTGCACAGTGACATTCTCGACGCTGTAAGTAGTCATACGAAACAATCATGTGTTGTTATGACCCACGATTAAATTCAATTGCTTTGTGACAACAGTCACTTTGTTTAACTTTTTTTCAAGTTTTTGTCTATATCCTTTGAGATTTGTGATGTCGAGACTTATTAAGTGCCGAGTTTTTATCAATATTATGTTATAAATAAATAATAAATATTATATAAATTAAAAAAAAATACTGTTCTATATACCAATTCTTCATAGGACTCGGGATTAAATTTGGTAATTTTGTCTTATTATTGTTTTAACATTTATGATGATTTGCAGGTTCTACTATGACGTGAATGCTGGCCATTGCAAAAAGTTCGTATACGGTGGCTGTGGAGGTAACCAGAACCGGTTCACGAGTAGGGAACAGTGTGATAATAGGTGTTCATTGACGAAATAAACTGAGTCCCTCCATTTCTTTTGTAGTTCCTCATGCCTTATAAAAATCACTATTCAGAATAGAAAGGAAGGAAGAATCCGCTATCTATATCTTAGTGGAGCAGTATAATATAGGGTTGGGCAAACATGCTGTCATGACGTGACAGTTTCATTTCCAAACAAAAATGTAGATAGATAGATACATGAACTAATTCTAATGGGGTTGCCTTTTAAAAATGTGACATAAATTAAATTAAGGTACTAGATCTCATTAAGGCGAGTTGCCGGACCAGAGCCCAGGTTCAAGAGTCGACAGTTCAACGGCTGAGATAGCAGTACTAGCATAATTACTCAATAAAAGGAAAAGCCCAATAAATACCTTTAGGGAAATACGAAAAATATGCTAAAACTGACATAACCATATAGTCATAACCATTCAGCAGCAAACTAAATTGCGGTAAGTTTGAAATACCAGTCTTCTTTATAGTATCTTCTATCTGAACTACTGTGGCAATTCCTGTATATACGTATGCCTCCACGGGTCTGGGTCAGATAGCTATTTGTACATTTTATTTTTTATAATGTCTGTAAAAACTATGTAAATTATTACCTATACATCTATCTTGTAAAATAGTCTTGACTTGACATTAAGTCTAAATATAATAAGAGCTATCATCACTCATTGTACTTGAGCAGTATCCATATATCCAGTATCCATAGCAAAAAAGCAATTCTAAGTGAGCTCAATGCTTACCATGCGTAATAAATGCACACCTTTCAAATCTAAACTCAAATAGTGTTTGAATTTTTTGTACTATTGTTATGTTTTTTCAAGGTAATATATTAACTGCATTTGTGTTAGCCGGACAAGCATAATATAACGTTATGTTATATTATGCTTGTTATAACGTTGTGTTATATTAATTGTTAAGTTGAGCCTAAAAAATCCTATGAACAGCTTTTTAATAATACGTAATATGTGAAGTACAAAACTTAACCACTGAATTACTAAGCTCTTTGCTGCCAATTTATTCTAAATTCCACCTTTTATTATCGTTTAATGACTGTACTTCATTTTTGCGAGCACATCTTGGGATTTCTGAATGACGATAATGGTTGAAAACATCGAAAGTCGTCTGGGAATTTTCCACTCAGCGTAATTGTTTCTGACGGAAACATTAGTCCTTGGAGATGTTTGATTAAGCTCTGACTTACTGATGGATGGTACTCGAAGACTACATTTGTGAGAAACGAAGCAATCGACTTGACGACTTCGTTTTGTTGATGAGTCTCATTACCGACTGATATCCGTTAGTAGGTACGCCATGTTGTTAACTTGCTTCGAAGCTTGTGAAGCCTGGCTAAGGTCTTGTTCTTGTCTATTGTTGACAGTGTGTTGTATCTGAAGCTAGCCAGATGAATTCTAATGTTCAACTATAATTTTAAAAGCTACAAAAGTAAGTAAGATAAAACTAACATGTTATTAAAAATGTAAAATTTTACGTTTAATGAATAATTTTACTAAAATTGATGTCCCAATTTTTTAAGCATCTTAGTTATCTGTTTTATAATTCTCAGAATAGCTACAACCGGTTCAAATCTAGAAGTTGCGAACTCATATCTTTTCATCCTAAAGATCGAGTTCAACAGATTTATGTAAATATCGCCATAACATAGGACAGACAGATTTATTATCCGAGTCTTAAAAAAAAAAAGCAATTGAAACTACGGCTGGGATGGTAATTACTGAAGTCTCGTCGGCCGTAATCCGCGTGCTGACGAAGAAAAACTCGCCTAATTAATAGTGCAGCTTCCGGATTAATTACCGGGGATTTGCAGCCATCCCCCTCTCTTGTTATTTGAATTTTGTTAATTATTATCTCTTCTGTTTGCATATATATATATTTCAATAAGTATGAAATATTGGTTTAGGATGGGATAAGCATTAGTTCCTCTTTATCAAAGTAAGGGTTTGTAAGCTAGTATATAATTGGATTTAAAAATTCACAATATTTTCTGATCCACCTAGAGATAGCTAAATATGGTTTTTATTAAATTCCAATTTTGATGTGTAACTGAATTATATACCGACCAATTGATATTAATTTCATAAGTTTGTATACGCCTTATTATTCAACAAGTAACCACAAACAAATGCGATAACTAATGTGAGTGGGCACAGCTTTACTCCATTAAGCAATTAGTCGGTGCCAAAGTGTTTCTGAAAGCAATTCAATAGAAATAATGGGTAATATCAAATGGCACAATTATTAAAAGTTAACTTCACTTATAAAATCTTGATTTAACTATTGTTGTGTCAATGTTAACTTTAATGAAGTTTCGATTTCACATTGTTGTTACACCTGATACAGTGGTTATATTGTATTTAGTATTAAAATATTACTACATATGTATTTAAATATACTTTTTTGTAAATATATTTTATATAAATAGGTATCTAGATGTAATACGTATAACGACAAAAAAAAAAACAAAGAAAAAATTAGTCATATTCATGCATACGAATATTTGCACTGAGTTATACTCGATTGTGCAAACTACACATTGCAATTAAAAAAATGTTTCAGTAACACTGATATACCATACCTTAACTACATAACCGCTTATCGTAAAACTTTGCATACATGCAAACATAATTTTTAGCGTGTAAATTAATATTTTTCTATGAACAAAGTCATTTAGCAAGGGGACCAATTCCGAACACATAGTATTACATATTACACCTTAAAATCTTTATCTTCATAGGTATATAAAAATGTTAAGTTGGTTTGTGTACGCTTCAATAACTCAAAAAGTTCTGCACCGATTGAGGTCAAGTTACATTTTCGAGTTAGTTTTGTTCCTTATTGTGGAGGAACGGCTGTCATGTCCCTTCAACACAAAGGTCTGCCTCAGATGATGCCTGGCAGGCCGCGGCCCAACGGTTGATGTTGGGAAGTTGTAAATATGCTAATCGGCTAAATAATTCTTAATATCGTGATACAGTATTAGCAATTCTCATTCAGGAGTTACTCCGTAGTTCTTTGTGTCTTCGTTAGATGGCGCTGTAGATGTTACTGTTTCTTTGTATGTGGGAGTCGCCACACTTAGTACTCATCAATGCACCACAATATGCCATAGCGAAACATGGCAGGGTACAGCTAGTTTTTTAAACGATAAGTTCTAACCATTAATGACTATATATGCATATGTATGTATTTATACCATGTTGTTTAGCTAAATTCGTAAACTGTCGAGAAGATAGACTACTTTTATGACTTGACCCACCGTAAAGGATTTTTGTATTCTATTGCAAAAGACGGGAAAATTGACATAACAGAATAAAAAATAGTATATGTACATATAACAGTATGGTTTATAACACTAAAAAATTATAAACCTCTGAAGGTAAAAGTTACACTTAAAAATTAAACAACTCAATTGAAGCATGCTAGGTGATATTGCCAGCGACAAAAACTAATGCTAGTACTGTCATTATTTATTTTTATAACATTTGCTAAACAATAATAAAAATAAAATGTAGCAAACAGAAGCAGAACATGTTTATAATTACCTCCGGCTCTGCTCCGGTGGCAGTTTGATTAAGTTGATTGATGTCCCCAGAGAGTTTCATTTACTAAAACAAAGCTGATTGTGAAATATATATCTATTCTTTTTCTCGGCCCTTTATTGAGACGACAGTTCTGTTATTTATGACTATAATTTATTTACCTATTCCATTTGTTTGATTAAGCGTAAGACCGGAACGGAGATGACATTGTTTTTTAATATTTCAAAGACGCCTTTGTCTACAAATCTTGACGTTATTTCGAATGAATTGTTGTGATGAATGCTTTGAGCATCTGTTTATTTAAATTATGCCATTTATTTAATAAAGAATGTTTTTTTTTAATAATAACCTCACACATAGCTGTTTGGTACCAAACTATAGCAGTGTCTGTATTAATTATTAATTTATTAGTATCCACACTTACCACTATCATTACAGGTACATATATCGTAATGTGATAGTGTAACTATTACAAAAATACTTGTTTACATAACTTCTCAGTTTGTGTCTAATAAGATATAATACTGTCTTTGTGAATTCACTCACTGTACAGCGTGAGGTGCGCAACGAACGCGTTGTTGCAATGGACAAATTAGTGCGTCTGCGTCGCACACCTGTCATGGATTATTTTAACTAGACTGCTGATAAACATATTTAAATATTTCTAAAGACATAATGCATCATACATCACATATCTAGTCGTAATATTGTGGCCGCTTAAGGCTAATAATAACTGAACAATAACTCAGTAGGGGTTATCGGGTATTTGCCTTCTAGAATATATTCGATACTCACCTGTTTGATTCCGAAATAGGACTTCCCCGTGAGTCCCGGTGCGGTGATGACCGATGAGGGTTTCCATTTCCACACTATCAAACACCCCAAGGTTTATATGATCAGATAGGCAGTGTGTTTAGCTTCTCTTGTCAATGAATAAATGAATATTTTTTTTGTATGAAGTTGGTACTAATTTTCTTTAAGTAAAAAAAGTTCATTGAATCTTGGGTGATGTCGATATTATTAGCTCCTTATTGTGTAGGACCTGCTGTCAATTTCGAATCAATGGAATAGAATGGTGAGCATTGAAGGAAAAAATGAGCGTAGCTACGAAGGGTCGACGACATAAAAAGGATTTTTGGCCGTACTTGACCCAATGAATTAACATAAAATCTATATTCCGTTCTCCAATATTTACAGCATCTCTTTGTTCTCCAAATATACTTTACTGTCTAAAAATTTATAATAACTATATTTGGAAGGGTGGATGCAATTTGCCATACAACATCGAAATGCATTAGTTTATAAAAAAAGGGGGAATATACAATAGTGAATTTTATTTTAAAACAAATAATAATTAAACATAAAACAACAATAAAATTAATATGTTTTGACATTAATTTGCAACACCATACTTAAAGTTTAATGAAAAAAAAACTAAAGTAAACAAAATC